CAATGTGTCTTTCATTGGAATAGTTGAAACAGACCCTAATCATTTGAAGATCTTGCAGCAGCACAAATGAAGCTCTAATGATGTGCAGGGAGTGCCAGTGATGGGCTTTTGTCCCCACCCTGCTTCAGTTGGGGTTTCATCTGTTTTCCGAGAGTGGCAATACACTGCTGTAGGAGTTTCTGAATAGAAATGTCAGAGATAGTAGAAGTGCCAAGAGCTGCAGGGAGACGCTGTTAATGTTCAGTGAGAAACTGAAAATGAAAAAACAATGGAGAGCAAAAAGGCCTTAAAAGATAGGTGGCCAAGTTTGAGAGTTTGCTTTAAAACTGTTTATTATCAGTCACAGAAGGGCATTGATGATGTCTGTGGCACTGCAACCCTCTTGATTGGTAACATAAGAGCAAAGTGGGTGCCAGAGCAGACTCTGCTAAAGGGAGGTAGGTAGCCCAGGCAGAAGTAAAGAATAGGTGATGAAATAAACAAAAGGGCCAGGAGACTTCTTCTCCTTTTTCAATGCCTTTATTAAAAGTGATCAGCTCAGGATTGGGTGGCTCGACGGGTCTGCAGTCTCCGTCGTCTCTCCCAAAGCAACTCAGAGCAGGAGGATATGCGCAGCTCTGTCCGCAAGGGGCAGAGCTGGGGATCAAGTCCTCGTGGGAGCCTTTAGGGCCTGCTGATCCCGTCAGAAGGTACCTTTGCCAGCTCAGTCAGCCTCGTCTCACCGCCGGGGTCGTCTCTCTTGGTCAGGGCGAGAGGCTCTGAAGGTGTTTTGCATCTCTGCAGGTTCAGCATTCGGCTCTTCACGTCTAGACATCACTCCAGTCTCTCAACTCTTAGGTGGCTCGTCGTTTTGGGGTCTTCTCTGTACACCGGGGGACCCATGCTGCATTGTGGTCTTGGAGTCACTTTGCATAGCCCCCCCCACCTTCTCAGGTCTCTTCTACTGTTCGGGAAAGTTCCCACCCTTCTGGGAAAGGTACAACTTAGCCTCGGGCGAGGCTCTGCTGATACAAAAGGAGCGATTAGCCACAACGACTCGTGATTACAATAAGAAAACACGAAGAACTTCAGCAGCTACCCGTGGTCTGGCTGCTTTTTGTAACTTTTTCTCACAAAAAAAATATTACCCGAATTTTGTTCATAACAGGTGAGAAGCTTATGTGCTGGGAAAACTTCTCCCTAAATCTATGGATGAAATGCTGGGAAGTGCTGGGTATACAGGTAGTGTACTTGTGGCTTGGTTGAACTGCAGCTTTTGGCCCCTACAATAAAGTGTCCTCGTTTTGGCTGGGGTACGTTCATTTCTTCCTGCTAGCTGCTACAGCATTGTGTTTTGGATTTAGTATGAGAATAATGTTGATAACACACTGGTGTTTTCAGTTGTTGCTATGTAGTGTTTCTGTTGAGTCAAGGACTGTTCAACTTATGCCACACCAGTGAGGAGGCTGAGGGGGCATGGGAAGTTCATAGCTGGGACAGCTGGCCCAAGGGATATCCCACATCCTGTGGCATCATAATCAGCATATAAAGCTGGGACAAGAAGGGTTTCCTAGGGGTTCAGTTCCTTATTTTGCTTTGCTTTGTACATGACTTTTGCTTTATCTATCAAACTGTCATTATTTTAATACATGTTTTCACTCTTTTATGGTTCTCTCCCCCATCCTGGGTGGGTATTAGCAAGCAGCTGCAGGGTCTGAGTTGCCAGCTGGGCTTAAACCACTGCACAAGGGAAAGGAGTTCTTACTGTAAAGCCACCCAGTGTTATAATATCTTAAAATTGGAATCCTTTGTTTGACTCTCTGCTTGAGTTGTGAATCATTGTTTCTTCTGGTTGTTAGTGAAACAAAACTTAATTTGGCTTGGGCACTGTAGAGATGAACATGATTGGTAATGCTGTATACATTCACTTCAGATGACTTTATAAATCCCAGATGAAATAATTTTGCTTCATTCCAGACAAGGCAGAGCGTGGCATGTGCTCTGTTACAAGAGTCAGCCTTGCTGGAGACCCTGCATAACCTTATCTAGAAGAGTATGATTTCATGAGAGTAGATATACTGTGGATTTTGAGCTATTTGTTACATTAGCTCATTAATTCACTCATTGTTTCTTGGTTTTGCTCACAATGTAAAGTTTTTTAAAAAGTTCTTTTCTCTTGTAAATCCAATTATTACTAAGTGATGACTTCTCTGATCTCTCATCCTCTAGGAAAGGAGATGTGTTAAAAAATACAGGTGTTAGAATGGTCGGTGCTACTGCCTAACTCGTGTCCCCAACAAACTTCTCCTGTCAAAAAGCAGACTGAGTTAACATTCAGGCAATGCAGTCAAACCTCTACTCAACACTCACTGCAACTGGCTCAGCAATAGAGGCAAGAAAGGCTCTTTTGCAAGGTTTTATTCCAGCAGAGTAATACAGTCGCTGAAGGGAAACCTGACGGGAAAGAGAGCGAACCACCTGGAGCAGGCAGCTTATGAAGGGGAGGGGGTGGGGGGCAGAGCTAAGGGCTGGGCAGATGGGACTGACCCGCCTTCAGGGGAAGTGGGATGGCCCCCAGGCATGCCAAGCCAGTCAGGGGACAGGGGAAGGAGTAACCAGAGGAAGTTGTGACACAAAAGGTCCATTTGGGAGTCAGTTTTTCCCCTGCAGGAGGACTAACTCTTAAGGTGAGTAGTCACTGATGTTTCTAGAGCTGAGGTCTTGGGGTTTGACCAAGGGGAGGGAGTTTGTGGGATGCTATAATGTGTGATGAATTCTCAAACATGAAATGAAACCATATAAATATTTAACCTTAAAAAAGGTTATTAGAAAACCCAAGTATTCACCAAACTGAATAAAAGATTGTATTTTTAATTGCATAGAGACCCTTCCCTTAATCAGCATATAAAGCTGGGAGAGTTTGTCACATTGATTAAGTGGTAGCTGTCATCTCACAAGATAGGAAGGATGAGGTTTTTGGTGGTTTTTACCATAAATCACAGGACATAAATCAGAGATATGGGAAATGCAATGAATCTTCCTGTTTTTTTAACCAACCCTTTGTTCTGTCTTCTAATTCGAAGTTTTCCCTGTTTCATTTTTCTCTTCAATGATACGGTGACATCTTTGTTGCAGACATCTGTGAAATGTTGAGTGTCACTAGTTTTCTGTGTTAAGTTGAACATGGCCTGAAAAATTAAATTTTTGGTTCTTTTCTGGGGACCTCTGGGCACAAAGTGCATTTTTGATAGAGATAACACAAGCAATATGCCAAGGTGTCAACATAGTGGCAGTATTAACTGGATTTGTGTCATGATCCTTCAGTGTTTGGTCTGCAGACAAGTGGGAGAGCCACTGTCACCTCTTGCTGGGGTCAGCTGCCTGTGGCTGCAGCTGTGCTTGGGGTCCAGGGGCAGTCCCCAGCCCCGCTCCAGCAAAGCTGGGTGCCTGGGATGCTGTGCAGGCTTTGAGTTTGGAGGATCTGTGGCAAGCTGGAAAGAGCTAGCAAAGGGATCTGTCAATGGATTGGAAGACAAATGAGGTAAAAATGATGGTAAATGTCTCATGTCAATAAAATAACCTTCTGAGGATGAAACTTGGGTTGTAAAGCTCTCTGCTGTCCAGGTTCTTCCCCATCAGCTGCTCTGGAGAATTTCAGTCCTGTTGTGCTGGAAAGCCTGGACATGTGGTGAGTCTCTTCAGGAGCTGGGGGGCTTCCTGTTCTCTGGTTCCTTGGACAGTAGTGCCATTTTCGGGGAACAGTGGATTATGTGATGTTAAAGGAACCTGCATCTTGCTGTGAGGGGCAGAATATGCACAGTGGGGTTAAAACTTTCTTTAGGACTGAGAAATGACCTCTATAGAGAAAGAAAAAGCACTGCAAAGTGAGGCCAGCACAGGGGGATTCCTGATGAACAGAGGGAAAGGTCTGGCCTCTCTTGGGAGAGCAGCTTGTGGGGGGCAGGAGAGGCAAAAGGCAGAGGTCAGAGAGAAGGAGCCTCCCTCCACAAGGATCAGCAGCCAGCTCCCTTCTCCCAGGCCTGTCTTCCCAAGAGAATAACATGAAAAAGCATGGCACAGAAAGTCTGTGCACCACAGACCTGCAACCTTGGGGCTGTGATGACTGCAGTTAATTAAATAGGTGGCTTGTCTCTAGACAGCCCAGACATCTGTCTCCATTCTTTACTTGTTTTTCTGACACATTTATATTTGCTTGTCCAGAGCTAAGCCCAGAGGACTTACAGATGGTCATCATTAATTTTGTCACTTGATGCAATTAAATTTTTTTTTCTCAACCTTTTAAAAACAGATGTGTATAAAAAATAAATAAATCTGTTAATAAGCAACTCACTAGAGGTCTTCTATTTGGATTTAGATTTAATTTTAATTTTTAGTGGCTGGGATTCAATTTTGGCATTTCTTTTAAACCAAATCTCTCTTGTAGCCATATAAATTTTTAAATTTGATCTTAAATAAACTTTTAAGTTTCCCTTTGCATCCCTTGTCTGGCTTCTTTGGAAACTCAAAAATCATTACATACCAACACATTTTCTTTGTTTTGTATGGGTTTATTCATGATTGCAGGATGCTGGTGTTGTGTGGGCTGAACTTGGGCTATGGGCTTTCCAAATAATGTCTTCAGCAGCAAAGTGAAACTTTGTTAGTGATTTCTTAAGGAAGCCACAGTATTACAGACAAAACTCAGGAGGTGTGATTAGTAACTGCCTGTACAGAGTCAGGATCATAGATAATGGCTTGTTATGAAAAGTAATTATATATACTTTTAAAAGGATAAACCAGCTGCAGACAGGTTTTGGCACTTTTTTTTTTTTCCACAGTCACCATATTAAATGTGGACTGTCCTTTCTAAATATCTTTTAACATATTTCTTTCTGAGTTTTCTCTGGAAATTTTACCATAAGAAAAGCTAATTGTGTTCTATATTATGCACTTGAAAAATGTTCCCAGGATACTCTTCTTAACAGAATGCTATTTTTTTTCCTTTTTTACTTTATTTGCAGGTCAAAATTTATCTGTTTCACTCAAATTAGTGTCATTTTAACCATCCAATAGAAGAGAAATATGATGCCAAACAGAAGTAACCTCTCCTCCTTCCAGAATGTTGGATCAGGTAATCAATTAAACTGAAGTTTATTTGTAATGCACTGAGATCTTTCAGAATTTCTAATTTACTTTGGTCCTTTAATTCTCTTGACACATGGATAAGATCAGTGCTCTGTTCTTATTCCATGTCTAACTCCATTTACCAGGCAGAACTAGGCACAGCTGGATATGCTACAGACAGCCAACCCTCCCCCATCACTTTAATGCCTGTCTGTAATAGATATCAGTGACTCCCAGCTAAACAACTCAGGAAAGGAAGAAAAGGAATGAGAGAGGGAAAATAAAAATTAAAAAAAAAAAAAGAGGAAGAATTTTCTTCTGTAGCTCCAGGCAGCAAATACTTTGCTAAACAGAGGACCCTTGTGCTGAGCATGAAAACTGGATCTGACCTGGATGCAGGATGGGTTCAGGACACGTCACAAGCTGAAGCTCCCATCCTCAGTCTCTATAGATGCATGCCAAGACAGCATCAGCCAGGATGTGTAACACATCCTGGCATATTCATCAAGTTTCTACTCAAACATTACCCTAAAGATAAACAAAACAAACAAGATATGGTTGGTGGGAATGTTTTACTTAAACGCGTGCTGTTGTCCAGTTGGGATTTAACTGTGTGACTGCGGGCTCTGTGGCACTGGAAGCAAAAAGAAGAACTGGCATAAGGGATAGTAGAAAAAAGCTGAACTGGAGTGGCTACATGAAGGTATTGTGACCTTTTCTTACTGTACTTGCTTGGATTTCAAGCACAATGCACCCTTCACTGCTTCACTGTGGTGAACAGGCATGAAAGTTTCCATGAGCTAACTTGTTTTTTGGCTAAAGCATTCAGTCTTTGAAGGATTAAATGTGTCCTACTGCTGTTGCAAGGGAGTAATGAACAATTATTAATGTCCTATTAATATGTCTGCCAAGCTATTTATAGAGGAGCCAGTGAAATTTCTGCAAAAATATTTGAACTTAGCTGTGTTAGTTAAGGTTTGGACAGTAAAAATTTCATATGAAATTAGATTTCAGTTTTAAGAGAGATTTGGAAGAGGCGAGGAGAAAGAGAGACTGAGATGGAAATTAGGGTCCATTCCGCAATGAAAGGTTAAGTATAAAAGGCATATAAATTGTGTTTTACATCTGGGCTCTTAAATAAATTCAACATCTTTTTCCATAAAACACCACTAATACCATGAATACTTGATTTATCCAGATGATGTTTTCTTGTCCTGTGAAGAGTTCTTTTGAATTTGGGTCACATTTATCCTTTTGTTCATTTGAAATTCATCATTGCTGTTATCAAAATTTATGAAAATAGCTAAAAAATGCCAAGTAAAATATTGCAATATAAGAAATGGCAGTTTCAGTGCTCAAGGTGGTGATGGTGTGATGGAGAACTCTGTGAGCTCTCTGGTTCAAAGGCAGCTTCAATAGTTATATCATCATAATGAGTGTGTTAAAATTATAAATATAATATAAATCCCAGAATTACAGCCAGCATAAAATATTAAATTCTGTGTAGTGGTAGACTTGAGGTTTAGTTTTGAAGATGGAAGTTAATGCTTTTGGCCGCTACCAGAGCTTGTAATTAACAACAGCTTAACCGGGTCCAGTGTGGTCAAGAAGGTGTTGTATTTTACTTTGAGTTTTGTGTTTATGTTCCCTAATGCTGGCTCCTTTTATCTTCTGCCTACTCTATTCCATTAGTAGTGATGGTTACCTTTGTTCTCAAACTTATGGCTTTTTTCCTTAATAACCGAGGAAAAGCTGTTGTTGCATGCCTGGTGGTGCAGGGGAGGCCTGGGCAGCAGAGCACTGCTGATGCCCTGGACAGTGGTGAATTCCAAAGCATTGTGCCTTATCAGTAAGGAAGGTCCCAGAAACCCCTGTGAAGAATCCATTGCCACCTTCCACAAGATCTGAACCTAGTGATTCTCAATGAAACCAGGTCATATGAGCTCTGGTGGCGGACAGGAGTCCCAAATTCTGTCTCTTAGTTCATGTAATTGCACGAAGCAGTACTTGGACTAAAGTACTGCCTTTGAGGACGTTAAGGGCACTTTACACATTAGTTTTTCCCTCTGAGGACAATCTGAGATTCAATTTCTCATGAGGAAGCTGAAGTCATAGCTGAAATGTGACTGAGCCAAGAGTAAATCCCAGATTCGACCCTTATTTTCAGAAACTCTTGCTGGCACTTCAGTAACTGACACTCAGGAGTGCTTTATGAGTTGCAGGTGTAGACTAGCACAAACCAGGAGCTGCTGTAAATATTAATGATGTCATTTCTACATCAGCTGAGGTCTAAGTGCAAATCTGCTGGGGGTCCAGTTTATCTCCTGCAGTAACTGGCACTGTCAGGAGCTGAATTATTTTCTTTGCTTTTGGCAAAGTGGAGCTCAGAACTGTATGCTAGAGCTTGATACATTGTTGAACAATAACATCCAGCAGAGCGAAGGCTTTTTTGGTCTGTGCTCTCTTCCTGAATATAAATTAGATTTTTGCAAAATCATTAGGATCTGGAACCTTTCCCTCAGCAGTATTTTTAATAGTCATGTGGTTTTGTTGTTTTGAATTAAGTCATGCAACCTAGCATTCTGCTTCCTTAAGGTTGTCTTTTAACCAAAGTGTTCTTTGCAGAGGTAGTTGCAGCCTTGTATTTTTAAAGCAATAAGCTGAAACACCTTGAAAAATGTGACTTGATTTTGTACTTTCCCATTAAACTTTGCAGGACCATCCACTAAGCAAAAAGGTAACAAATTCCTACTGAGCTTTAAATTGAGCTTGCTAGTTTGTTTGGGCTCAGATGCTCTAGCTGCCCAGATTAAAGGGAGAGGTGATCCACAGCAGTGTCTTATGTCTTTGGCCCTGGGAGACCTGAATTGGATTCTTTACTCTGCTGTCTGCGTTGTATGTTTTCCTTGTGCCTCCGTTCCTCAGCTGTAAAACATCGGGGCAATAATTCTTCCTTACTTCATGGATATCTCAAGAGGCTCAGAAATATAAAGGCTGAGCCACAGGCTCCTGCAAAGGATTGGACAGCGAAGAAAGAGTCTAGCCTCTCTCCAATTGTGTTGCTGATTTTTGTATGGTTTTGTGCCTCTACCCCTTCTTTTTCAGTCTCCCATCTTTTGCGGAAACACATGGGAAAATTGTGCATCTCCTCCTTTGCTTAGTGATCTGAGACACATTTACTACGAGCACAGTTGTTGGGGTAGATGAAACAAGAAAGCCTTATAAATATGACTGCCTGGCAAAAGATTTTGAGAATATAGAAACTATAAGTGAGATTGAAATGAAAGCAACCTTTGAGATCCCTTAGTTGTAGTTGAACAACGGGAAAACAATGATGTGACCAGCTGAATGTAATCCCCCCTGGAGGAAACAATTCCCTCTACAAGCAGGCAGGCCTAAGAGTCAGAGCAGGCCCTGCAGCTTGGCAGATAGGGCCCAAAGAGTAAGATTTAGGGTTTAAAATGTAAACATAGTATGGTAATGTAGTGATTCTTATAGGTTGTATAGAAATGTTGTAGGATATGCATGCTGTAGTAGATTAGTTAATGAGAATCTGAATATTCAACACTGAAGATGATTTATTGTATTGTAACGAGAACTTCTGTCTCTTTTCTCTCTTTTCTCTCTTATCTCTCTTCTCTCTTATCTCTCTTCTTCGGCTTTGTCTTGCTCTCGCTCTTCTTTGAGCTCTTTTCTCTCTTTGTCTCTTTGTCTTCTCCTCTACACTTCTTCACCCCCTCCTTTCTACATGCTCTCCACTCTTAACCCTTTGCCTTTAACTCTTACACTTTAAGCCTCTCTTCTCTCGGGCCTGCTCTGAGCTGCGGCTGGCAGCTCCCAGCAGGGCCCTTCACCCCTGCCCTTTGCAATAAACTGCACGTTATACCACTTGGCTTCAAAGAGATCTCGTCTGTGTCCGTCCCAACCATGTGACCCCCCGCAACTTCTACACACAGTAATTATTGCAAAAAGTGTTCACATTATTTTGCAGGCATGTGCATGCAAGAGTCTATTTACTTGCTAATTTTTTTTTCTCGTTTGGTCTTCTTTACAGATTCCAGCAAGATTATGGCAGACTATAGCCACTCACAGAACCAGATGGAGTTACAAAATGCTAATTTGGGAAAGGGTTCTGTGTCAAATTCCCCTGAAAGTAGTCTCCAAGATATTATGGAAAACCTCAACACAAAGAAATATTCATCAACTCTTAAATTTAAAACAAATGGGGACTATGCTGGCTCTTATTTAACCCTTTCACAACCTATGCCAATTAAGCCTAATCCTTCCACCAGTGTTAAAAATATGCACTCTATTAACAAAATTCAAGGAGGGAAGCAGTTCCCCTGTGAAAGCCCATATCATACAGATAAAAGTATCTCTGCAAAGCATTTGAGTTCCATATCAGGCATGTCTCCATCCCTCAGTGGGTATAGTTCTGGAAGGGCAGATTTTGACATTTATGCCAGCAGAGAAAATGAAAAATCCCTTGGACACATGGAAAAGTTTCACTACTCAAAGTACAGTCAGAGAAATAAATCTTATGACAACATCTACTTCCCAGGAATGCTGGAATCCAAGAAGATCTCAGGCTCTCTTCTGACTATGTGGAATGGAAGCTCAGGGAATGAGCTGATGCTTTCACCTGGTAGCAATTCTGGGGCAGCCAGCATGCCTTCCAGCCCAAAGCAAGGCAGGAGGATGAATGCTGAAAACAGTCTGGCCCTTCACATAAAACCAGTGAAGTACAAGGATGAGCTGATGGAAACTCTGGGTTCACGGCCAAGGAAATACTCTGGTGGATCTCTAAGTCATATGGGAATGTACAGTCGTTCCCTACCCAGACTTTATAAATCAACAGAAAACCAGCTGGTGCCATTTTTGCCCCCCAGAAGCTCTCTGGGTAATAGTAAAAGGAAAAAACTTGGAGAAAAAGATCTATCTCAGAATGCTTTCGATGCTGATAATTACCTGAATTTTTCTTCTTGCAGCTCAGGGGTTTCACCACATGTAAACTCTGTCTCCAGGAGTAATCCTTATGTCAGTTCAACTCTCAGTGTTCCTGCAAGCCCTCGTATTGCTAAAAAAATGCTTTTAGCACCTTCTTCCCCATATCTCCCTGATGATTTTGACAGACTTGGACTCTCAGGAACAAGTCCCAGTAGTTCTTTCTCCCCAGTGGATTTTGACAGGTCATTCTCTGTCCGAAGAAACCTTTCCACCAGTTCCATGGAACTTGATGACCCAGATCTGGAAAGTTACAGACAGACGCCAAATTCTCTGCAAACATCCATGCAAGAGCGGAAGAACAGCATTAGCTCGGTTTCAGGAAGGGAAGACCTCATGGACTATCACAGGAGGCAGAGAGAAGAGCGACTTCGGGAGCAGGAGATGGAACGGCTGGTAATTTTTTCTCTTCCTCTTAATTATCTGTGATACTTAACATTTGCAAAACACCCATCCCAGGTCTAGCCATCAGGAAGGTACAGCAAAGAATAAGCTGCTCTGTTTTGAAATTCACATGCAGCCCGCTCCAGACACCTTGTTTATTATCACAGTCCATGAAGCTGACACTTACAAAGCATGCTGCTTGGATAGACAGTACCATTCAGCCACCCTGGAAAAATGCTGGAACCCATGTAAATTTTGTTCAGTTATCCTGCAGGCTGTGTTAAAATGTCCATGTACATAAAACCCAAAAACTACATTGCAGGGATCCTGCAGGACTTTTTGTTTTAGATGATGGCACTGTTTTGTGATAAGTGGGCAAAGAAGAAGAGATTCTGCTCAGCCTTGTGTGCTGCAGAGTCAGGTGTACATTGGTGTGGGCTAAACGGCCATCAGCAGACTTTTTTCTTCTTAGTTTTCATTTTTTCTTTCTGAACGTGTTCATTAAAATAGAGGCCTCCTTGCTTCTCCCCCTCCCAAGATGGAGAGTAGCAGAGGGGAGCAGTTTATCTCCTTGTCTCAGTCAGTGTAAAGCAGTGCATACTGCCTCAGCTTGGGATTATTTAGATAGTAAAATATAATTTATGTTTACTGAAACAACTTGTGTGTAGGAAAAATAAAAAGGTCTCCAGAACCTACAGAGGTATTTGAAACAGTTTGTTATTGAAACTGTCTCTAGAAGAGCACACAACAGTTCCTCCAAAGGGTTTTCAAAGTGGCTTTGGGACTCTCTGACCCTATTAACATGTGTTCATATTTTATCATCCACATAGAAGCAGAGGTCATTAGATGGGCCAGTTGGTATTCCTGAGTCTTAAATTTGAGACACTAATGTTACATTTGTGTGCCTTAATTCACATCTTATGAATTTGAGCAAAATGGCAATAGGATTCTCTTGAACCTGTCTAGTTTGCATACAGACAGCAAGCCTGCAGGAAAAGTCACTTTCTGGGCAGGGTGGAGGTGAAAAGCCATGGGGAAGATGGATGCAGGGGTAGTGGGAATCTGGGAGAAGGGGATGCCTGTCAATGACACTAGCAATGACCTGGTGCCTATGCAGGGCCACAGTTCCCATCTTGAACCACACGAGGGAGCAGGTTTAGGCTAAAGAACTGTAACCCAGTGAGATGTCTCCCCTTCCCCCATCTCACCTATGTCCTTGATGCAAGCTGGTGAGGAGGCTGTTATGCAGACAGAAGTCTGCCTTTTCCTCCCCATTCCACTGATCACTGTAGTTTATAAGATAACCACTGTTGTTTGCAAGATGTGAAAAAGTCTTTGCCTGCTCAAAGACTGGAGTGTTCAGGCTCAGGTGTGAGAGGCAGGCAGGCACTGCCCCCTCCCCACTCCATGAGTGTCAGGGCAAGTCCACCCCTGCTCTGCTTTGCTCCCCAAAACCTCTGCTGGCTCCCCTTGAAGCTGCAGCTTCTCAGGAGCAGGGACTGAGCTCCCCAGGGCAAGAAGGACTGGCTGTGAGTGAAATGGCTGGAGGGCTTAGGACAAAGGTTTTGGGAAACATGTTTCTCCCTCTTCTTGCTGCCTTTGTGCTGCCAACCCTCTGCTCCTTTCAGTAATCTTCTCCCATCCTGGTGTGTTGTGTGTGCAGTGGTGATTGCTTCTTTGCTTCTTATCAGAAGGTTTTGCAGGCAGTCATGCTGTAAAACCTGAGATAATCAGTCATAAAAGCAACGTATTTGTATTTCAAAGAGAACAGCCCTTTTTTTTTTGTTTTAATTATTATTTGTGTTGAGGGATGAAAGATACTGGGTTGTTTCAATATTCAGTGGTGCTCATAGTCATTCTGGTTTTATATTTGGATGAAATGGCTACATTCCCACCCCTCAGTATTTCCTCTTGCTCACCAAGACTTCCTTCAAGTCCCAATTCTTCAAAAAGAGAATTTGCTTACTGTTTTTCCAAAGCTTTTGAAAACAAGATGATGTTCTGTGTGTTGCATATTTGAGCATGAAGGATTTTCCTCCTGCTTGAGGTCATCTTATACTCAAGATCCCATATCTGCTCCATTCTCTATTTACTAGAGCTATCTGATAGAAGAGCGAAATATCAGGACAGTGCATCCTTCCACTGGTTTGAGAATCTGAAAAATGTCATAAGCAGATTTGTAGATCTCTTAGAAGCAGAAAGATATATATTAAAAAGTCCACACATCAGTTCTTTGTATATTAGAGTCTGTCCTGTTCTGGTGTTATTTTACTTTGTCCTTCTGTATGGATCTCTGTCCAAGGATAGTCAAGGATCTGTCCAAGCAGGGTCTTGATATATCCAGCCAGAGCTTCCAAAGAACAATTTTGTTTGCCGTTGTGTACTGACATGGGCAAAGGATCCATGTCTGCTCAGGTCTCTCTTTTTTTATGGGGTTGGAGAAGGTATGAATAAAAAACCCCAACTAAAGAAGCACTCATGGATATCAAAACTCTGTGCTCTGAGCTTGCAGTACTATGTAAAAGCCCAGGCTGAGTAGCTGGTAGGTAAATGGCAGGAGAAATGTAGTCTCTCTGTGCACAAGTGTTAGGATTTTCCCTACTGGGTTTTTGAAGCACAGTAGGGAGAACAAAAGTGTAGGAATACTCAAATATGTCCATCAGAAAAAATAACACTCTTTTTTAGAGGACTAGACTGCCCTGTGGCCCACATAAGAAGTGGAGACTGTCTTTCTTCGCACCAGCACTGCCTCTGTTGCTATTCTGCTGGCACAGAGTGGCTTGAAAGTATTCTAATTGATAGGTGATATTCACTTCCGGATTTTTTTGGTAGTAAAATCCCTGCACTCATTGCAATTTGACCTAGTATCTGCCCTTGAACTCTTCTGTTTACTTTCACTTGTTTACTTTTTCTTTTCCATATAAATTATTCTATTTACTTGTGTTTAGTTTGCTTTTAAGTGTCAGAGGCTCTTCTGGAAGTTTGCATTTAGAGCTCCTGCTGCAACCTGCATACGAAAAGAAATTATCTGCCATCATTGCCCAAATAAATAACCAGAGATTTAAAAAAAAAAAAAAGAAAAAGTAGAAATAGTGAAAATATGCAGGTTGGTTTTTCTTTAATTATTTAAAAGTCCAAGTTTTAATTTGTTTCTGTGCACCAAATACAAAAGACACATAAGTAGTTGTGTAGGATTTGGTGTTTTTCCATATCTGTTTCTTTAGATCTGCTGTCTGTGGCTGAATTCACATAAATTAGCTGAAGACTGGTGCCCCTTCTGCTTTGCCAGCCTGTTCCTTTGTGGCTTGAAGAGCAGGGGAAGCTGGCATTCTGAGTCCTGCCATCCCCGCTGGTGCTGGTGCTCGGGGCTGATGGGCTGTGGGAGCAGGTGGGGCAGCCACAGCTGCCCCTGGCACAGGCAGCAGGGTCACGACCTGCTTCTGCTTCCTCTGCAGCCCAGCTGACCGGACATCGCGTCCCACCATGGGATGTTTATAGGAGCTGTACACAAGTAGAAGTTGGAGTAGCTATTGCTGACACTAGCCCAGGAGCCTTATAAACAAGGAGAAAGTTACTGCTGTGATCTAATAATATTCCATGTAATTCAGTTAGCTTTTTTTTTATTATTATTATTATTATTATTATTATTATTATTATTATTATTATTATTTAAAGAGGAAATCTCACTCTTTTTTTTTTTTTCCCTGAGATGAAAGCCCAGTTGTAGCTGCTGGAACGATAAGGGGCTCTTTTTCTTCAGGTGATATGGGGCTTGGGAGTGGAACTGCACAGGCAACATAGTTTAGTAGATATTAAGGGTCGTCTGTTTTCTTTGATAGCTACTTGTTTAAATAACACTAAAGTTTTCAGTACTGGTTTTTAGGCAGTACAGTGTATTTCCTCTAGATGGTGGTAGGTACCTAAAAATTAGATGTGCAGTAGGTTCATGATGCCTTCCATTGCCCAGCTGTCCATAGGAATCTGTGAACATACATAAACATTGTTAATGAAGTTTTAGTAGACCCAGGATTTGTACTGGGAGAGGTTTGAAGTTATCAGTGCTTGAATGAGCAGTAATAAAATTCAAGGGGCTTATTCCGTAGTCCACTTTGTCACAGTCAGAAGAGCACTGAATTTCATTAGTGTATTCAGAAGTAGGGAATAATACAGAATATCACTATGCCTAGTTTGCATTGATGCCTTGCAATTTAGTAAGATGTTCTTATGCAAAGGGAAAATGAAATGAAACTGTTTGGGGGTTTTTAAGATGGTACTGCTTTAAAATCATGGTTAATGGAGCTTATGTACATCTTCATATGGTTTGTGGAAAACCTCATATACATGTTTTATAAATCTATATTGGCACTGTGTCTTTCTATAGACCTTTAAAGCATAAAGTACCCAAGCTGTATGTAAAACTGTAAGTGATTAGCTCTTAAAGGAGTCCGAGCCAAGTAGACAAAGGTAGCTTCAAGGTAATTTTTCCCACCACTAGTATTTGACAGTCTCTATAGTTTTACAGAATAGCTACTTAATATCATTTAGTTTTGTAATTGAATAAGTGCTGTATAATAGGATAAAACCCCCTGCAGAATGTAACTAATATTGATGACTCCCTAACTTTCCAGGAACATTCAGTTTCAATTGTGTTGTAAAACATTTCTGTGGTCTTTAATAACACCCCATTTCTGTGGGGTCTTTAATAAGCCAAAATTTGGATTACATACGCCTAATTTTTGCAGCTATATGTATTATGTAAATTAACACTCAGGTCCAGGAAGAAATCAATTACAGGAGACCTGTTCTCATTTACAGAACGTAAGTACTGCTCTGTAACTCTGGTCTTCAGGCTCCTGCCCTCAGTGTGGTTTGAAAAGGAGCATCTGCATAGGTACTATAGTGACAAAAGGGATGAACAATGCTGTTATTTTGGCAGCCAGTGGCATTCCCTCAGGAGCAGAACACATGCCTTGGGTACAAGAGCTAATTCTTGGAAAGTCATCTGCTCAGCTCTTCCCTGCAGGCTGTCTCTGCTCTGTGCCACTGCTCTCTCCTGCTTTTACCAGTCCGTTTCTCCTGTGCCTGATCTGGGAAGGAAAGGACGAGGCACACCTGCACCTCTGCTGTGACCTGGGCCTCTCCACACTGCTTCTCTGTGCAGGTGTCTCTGCTGTCACATCACAGCTGCCTCTGAGAGTGGGACATGAAATACAGGTGCTGCTTCTGAAAGCTGTGCTACTGCTGGTAACTTTGGAGCTGAAGCACTAGCTATAGCAAAACAAGGACTGGCAGTAAGAAAACAAACTAATCTGGAGTGAGAAAATGGTGCAAACTGGAAGGAAGGGAAAGAACACTTGCAAATTGTTCAGTCCCAGTTCAAGTTTATCATTGAAATAAGCTCCTCAGAAATGTAGCACAGAAGGAGAAAGCTTTCTTCAGCCTCTCCTTCATGAGGTAGTGAATGTACATGTGAGAAAGAAAGTTTGGGGGTTTTCTGCAGCTGTCTTCTCCAGTCTTTCTGCCTTTCTCCCCACCATCCTTTTTTACTAGCTCCTGTTCCCAGCTTTTGCTGAGAAAGTGGTGGTTTGTTTGAGCAACTGTAGGAAAATTTTTCTTTGGCAGCTGAAAAGTGCAACAGCTTCTCCAGGCAAAGGGAACCTGGCTGCATGGACTAGCCATACTTCATGTTAGTCTATGTCACAAGGGATAGACTACATATGTATTTTTAATGAAATTTGAGGTTATCTAGTTCCTAGTAGCACTTACCTGAAAAGCTTCCTGTTTGCCACAGCCAATTAACAGAGGCTTGCCTTGATATCCAGATATCGGGCACTTCTACACATTTGTAAAATTCATAAATGTGATATGTAGCAGATCAACAAATCTAGGAATCACCACATGGTTGCTGTTAAAAAAGTGGGATATTTATCTTTGCTATTTTGGAATTTTTTTTTACAGGGTACCAGGGATGTCTCTTAATGTCATTGATAATCAATAGCAGAAGAAGGTTATTAGCTCCTTATCCTTGTCCCTCAGCACTTAAATTTGCAGCCAACCATAGGTGATATGTAGCTTTCTCAAAGCCAGGAATAGTGAAGCTGCTCAGGCAGAAACGGCGCAAGACTTGTTACCCCTTTTTGTAGTGGGCAAGAGAATTACACAGAAATGTTTAAATGTTAAAATAAACAGAGATGTTTAAATCAGTTAGAAAAGACATTTTATAGGGAAACACACTGACCAGCTTACAAGGCTTGATTCAACATTCCCCCCTCCCACCAGAGCCAATTTTAAATCCATTTCCTGCTCTTGACGTACCTATGTTTTTTCCCCTCTGTTGTGTTCAGTGTCGCAAATAACTTGTGTGGTATCTCTTGCAAAATTATTGACTGGATTTTCCATGTCCTACTCATTTGGTGTTCTTCATTGCAAGGGTGCTTTCCTAGCTTGCTTCTTCACTGAGAAATTAATTCTGGAAACAGTTACATGCAGGTGTGCTGGAACTGGAATGAGCTGGCTGAGATGAAATGATGAGAATAGGGTGTATAAAATAACCACAGAGCTTCCTGTCCATAAGCCTCTCTGCACATGTGAAAATAGAAGTGAGAAATATCAGTATTTCTGTAATGTGTCTGAAAGCTCATCAGGAATTTTTTGAAGACTGGTTTTCCTGCAATTTTTAAGCTTCTTCTGAGCAACTGAGACTTGACAAGGGGGTGGGGGCGGGGGGAAGAATCCCTTTTTTCCTGACTGCTGGCAAATGGCTGGTTTGCTGCCAGAGCCGTCACCTGAGCACTTAGGCTGGAATGAGCAGTGGCCTGCTTTGAAATTTGCTGTTTCCTATTATTGCCCAAGGGATGGAGGCTTGGCATGGGGTAACCCGATACAGCCTGTTTTTGCAGGAGGGATGGGACCTTTACCTTATATCCTGATGTCCATGTTTCCTGTCTATAATCGTCTATAATCATTACGACAGGCCTGATGCCGTCACAACAGGGAGAGCTGCTTAATTACTGACTGTCCCAGCCAGCACTTGCACAGGGCTTTAGGAATTGGGTTGCCTGGCCAAACTCTTAGTAAGAGGGAGGATAGTGGTGTTGGAAGGGTAAGAGGCTTATAGGGTCTGGCAGTAGTTGCCTGGAGGGAAGAAGGCTTTGGAGAGTTGTAATTATGTCGACCATTTGGGGTTGAAGGATGTCTGAAAATCTGCTATTAATGGAATAGCAGAGGACCTATTTAATGGAAAACAGAAGTTTTCAGTTGCTGCCCTGCGCTCTGTTATTTCAGCAGCTCATCTCGATACAGGAGGATTCTGAGGAAAGCTGCAGTGGGAATCTGGGAATAAGCCCCCCAAAGGCAAGAGCGCTGTCTTGTTTGGGTAGTGCTTGGAAAGGGGTGGGTTCAGACAGGTTCTCCTGCTCAGAGGTCTGAATTGCAGGTGATGTGGATGTGTGATTCATACAGCCAGGTGATCTCTCAGTAGCCCTGGGGTTACTTGGGGTGCATGTAACCAGTGTTGCATTTTCATGCAACGTAGCGGCTTGCTGCAGGGAAAGTTGAGGCAGTGCGTTGCCTGCCCTGTTTTGCTTGATCCTCGTTATCACTTGCTGTTGGGCATAGGAAGTGTTGGGGCTGGCAGAAGTAGCTGCTGTGCAAATTCTGCTTGCAAATGTAGTGCCAGGTAGAGCTGGGAAAGCAAGTCTGTCTGTGGTGGTTTCTGGGGACGGAGGGTGAGTATGTTGCTTTTTTGGCTATCTTTTTAAACACTACTGTAGAAGGATTTCTTAGAAATCAGAAATTAGATCATTAGTGCAGATACTAATGCCAAGCATAGAACTCTCACAGTGGTCTTTTTTCCAGCAAAATTTTCAATAGACTTATGGTAAGCAATTTTTCTTTTCTTTTTTTCTTTAACAAAAGTAACGTGAAATTACATAAATGTTTTACCTCTTAAAAATGAAAAGGTATTAAAAAAAATCCATCTTAAATAGAAGTTACCAGAAGCTATGCATACAGTAAGATAAAATAAATATAACTTGCTAATAGTTGATAAAAGGTGTCATAAAGATCTATAAATCCTTCAGAAATTAAATGTTTATCAAAACCTGAAGCATATCAAGTTAAAATGGCACAGCTACTCTGAATCTCAAGTTTGAAATGTTGGTATGAATCCATAGAGAATTTGAGTAAACTGGTAAATAAAGATTCCCTCCACTTCTGTGCATTTGACAGATGCTGTATTTTAGATGTGATGCCTCTTTTTTCTGTTAATGCTCCTAAAACTGTGTTTTTCAAAATGTGGACTAATTCTCTCAAAAGGAGGAATCACAGTTAACAAAATGGAAAATCTGAATAAGTCAGGAATGCGTGAGTTCATGGAAAATCTGTGCAATATTTTGCAGCTTGGTAGGAATATAGCGTAAGTGTGAAATGGAACAATTAGTGATTTACGTAGTGAGATCACTGGACATGTGTACATACAAATGGGATGTAGACACAGACACCTCAATAAAAAATTTAAAAGCACATTTCACAGAAATTAATAACTAGTTAAATAAGATGTCCTAACATTAATTTATCTTTCCAGTAGAAAGTTTTAATATTCTTAAAATCTTCTTTCACATTAATTTTGATTCTTCATCTTGCACTGTAATTGATTTCGTACAGTTTATTATCTAGAAGTGATAGATGTACTTTAATCCTTCACTCTAAAACAAAACAAAAAAAAAAAAGACCCAAAGCAACAAACAAACAAAACACTAACCCAAACAAAACAAAAAATACAAGCAAACAAATTTTGACTTCATCTTTACTCTAGCTCACAAGTGACACTCAGTGCTATTATCTTTTTCTGAACCAGGAACGACAGCGGCTTGAGACCATCCTCAATCTGTGTGCAGAATATTCCAAATCTGACAACGATCCTGCTGCAGCCACTACAGTTGCTGATGTTCAGAAAATTAACAAAGAGCTCGAAAAACTTCAACTCTCTGATGAGGATTCCGTGTTTGAAGACTCACAGATGAATCTGGAAATGAGGTTCAGAAGCCACTTGAAATCATCTGCGAGTGACTCTGATTTCTCAGAGCTGAGCAGCCACAGCCGTGGCACTGCTGCTTACCTGCCCTTGCGGGGGCTGCGGGCTGAGGAGCACTTCAGTGAGAGCACCAAGCCTCCACCTTTCGCTGCTCACAGCTTCCTCAAGGATGCCACTGAGTCATCCTACCTAAGCATCACACCAAAGGTAATGCTTTGTAGAAGGAGACAGCGTAATCCAGACTTGAAATCCTCCTCTAGGAGTTATCTGTCCTGGCAAGGGCCACAATTAGGCTGGCTTAGGTATGGGAATTAATCTCAGAACTTGTACAGCTTTATAAGCCATCAAATACAGAAGATATAGCCAGCAAAATTTAGCAGTCGACAAATTATTATTCCATATCTTGTGGAAGCTAATGGTACTGGAAGTTGGTTTGTTTGTTTCATGGGATGTACTGTTCAGGAAGAGTTTTAAGACCTTCCAAGGGAGAAAGATTTGCTTGAACAATTATAGCTACTTAAATAAAGGTTTCCAGAACCCTGCTTATTGTCCTGCTGAGATGTAGGAGGGAAGAGACACTCTGCTGGTTTTTCCCAACCTGAGGCTCTTGTAAGAGGAGTATGTTTTCTCACACTCACATGGGAAGTGAAGAGGAGTTGCCTGAGCTAAATTTACTTCCTGTCTCTTTCCTGGGGTTGGACCTGAGCCTCTTGCCAGATCAACTGTTGTCTCTTGGGAATGATGCAGTGGCAGCAAGCCTTCTGCCCCTCCAACCCAACTGCTGCCTTTAATAAGCTGCACCTCCTTTCCTGTGTGCTTCTCACTGCTGTTTCATTACCAAAAGGAAGTTGTCCTTTAATAAAGGAGCTAACAGCATTCCTAACTATTTCTGTGCTAGTGCAGCAGCAGCCTCCTCCCAGCTGTGCCAGAGCAGCAGTTTAGCAAATCCCAGTGGCAGGCAGTGTGTTAAATAACTGGACTGAAGAGCTGGAGTCAGGAGTGAAATGAGATCAAGCAAAGCCATAAAAGTAGGTTTCTGTTTAACAAGTTCTCAGGTTCAAAATACTTTGTCTCTTCTATTTACTGTTATTTACACACTGTATGATCTTAAGCGTGGTTATATGCATCAGGTGAATTGTATTTAACCCCTGCTATACTCACAACTTGAGCGTCAGTAGTGTGTGTGTAGAAGATGAGAGAGGTGTGACAGTAACATATTTTCATTTCCAAAGGGTGATCTCTGTGGAAATCTGTCTGCCAAATCTTCTGGTGTGAAATTGTGTTGAACAGGAACATTCTATTATGGCTTGACTTGCTCTTTCCACATTGAAAAGATGGTAACACATGTCACTTACAAGTTGTTGTGGTCTTTTATTTCTTTCCCATTTGTTGTTTCGTTCATGCAAGTCAGAGATCTTATTTAAAATCCTTATTAGGAAGTTGCAATCAAAGATGTTATGTCAGCATTATCCAAACAGGAGACAGAACAAAAAGAGGCTTTGCTGCTGGGACTACTATTGCTAAATCAAGGAATAGTGTTCATTCATTCATTGTAAAGGGAGTTCTGCTAAGCCCTGAGAAAAGCACCAGCAAGCAATTGCATTAATGATGTGCAGCTTGTCTTTAAATACTGAGCTCAGATTTGTTCAGGATAAAATGCCTACTCTCACAGTAGCCATTCATTAGCTGAACTGAACCTGTCTTGAGCAAGGCTGTGTGGCCCAGAGGTGACTGCAAAGACCTGCAGGCAGCCCAACTCTAATCCTGCTTGGGGATAATGAACAAGCAGCCTTCCCAGAGGAAGTGGACTGCAAGCCCCTGGGGTCAGGTGAACATGAAGAATGCATTTCAAACTCAGTACTGTTTGATCTAGTATTGGATGGTGTAAGATCCCATGTATTTTCTTCCTAATCTTGTTTAATTCTTGACACAGGCATCTAATAAGGAAATATCAATGAAAAGTGGAGCATTAAGGGTGCTACTTCCTTAGTGCTACCTGGGGAGATAGGACCAACTTTTGTCCTTATTTTACAGAAGCCACCCATCTTCATGGCTGGTTACAAAAATGTCCTATCCTACTTCCTGGCCTGTATTAAATGAACAGCTGAAATTTACCTAAAAAATGTCTTCATCTGTCTGTGTTTTTTTTATAAGGAAAAAATTGGATTTTCACAACCTGAATAGCACAGCATGTTAATTATTCTCAAAGGTTAAGTTTTAGTAATTCCTTTAGAATGAATAGTATTTGCTGCTAAGTATAGTATTTACTTCCAATGCCTGGAAGTAAAGTATCGTGTTTGTTTCTGTTGTACACCTCCTAAATATAGAAATAGCAATATAGTAGATAGGAAATATGTAATGGGTTCAAAACCAACAGTGCCGTACTTGTCTAAAGTGAAAACCATATGGAAGGGGGCAGAAAAGGCAGCATTTGCCTCTTTTTCTAATGAACCTCTTATGATGTGCAGTTGCAGATATCAGAATGCACCAGTGAAGAGCAGAGAAGGCAGGAGCTTGGTCAACTGGAGGAGGAACGCATAGTAATACTGAATAACTTGGAAGAACTTGAGCAGAAGATCAAAGATTTAAATGACCAGATGGATGAATCCTCAAGAGAGGTATGAAAATGGTTTTGGTTTTCAATGTCTTGGCTGTTACGTGTGCTTCCATAGCAGAAGTCTGATGCGTTCAGCAAGTACAACTATGAGGGAACTCGTGGATGTGTGTAGTCTTCATATTCTGTGCTTTTTCACCAGAATCACAAACCTGGAAGTCTCCTGCTGTAAAGGGTATTTTTCTCCAGCTGGGGGATGCTTATAATGCTTGGATTAGCTTTTCCCAGCTGTAACCATTACACTCTGAAATGGAATTGGAACAATCTTGCTTATTTAATGGCCACTCAGTTAATCCGAATACCTTGGGTCACTTGGGAGTTTTACGGTGGTATCTCCTGTGACTGTTTAAAGAAAAAGGAAGTGATACAACTTCCTTTCAATCCTCCTCAGCTTTACAGTGGCAAGGGTAGGTTGGCAGCCTGTTGAGTTCTGGAATCTCACAGTTGCAAACTAAGCTAGCCAGGCATTTGGGTTCTGCCTGCTCCAATTATCAGCAACGGGAAAGAAACAGCTGTTCCAGAAGGGTTTTCTCGGGAGCCTGGGCACAGAGACAGTATCATAACAGGAGATAGCACAGAGAAGAGTTAGAAAACAAAAAATTTTGGAAAAAAGAATCTTCAAGCTAAAGTTGGTTTGGACTTTATTTTGCACTATTTTATGTGCAATTTTACTTTTTCTCAAATTTGTGACCTCTTTTTAACTTTTGTGGCAGAAAAACCTATGTTTTTTTTTATCCTCTCCTTTTTAAAAAATATTTCTCTCTTGTGAACCAACTCATTCCCCTCCTCCTGAAAATAATGTGTATTGAGATTTCTTCTGAATCTGGACTGCTTCTGAAAGATGTTTTGTGTTCCTAGTTGGATATGGAATGTGCCCTTTTGGATGGGGAGCAGAAATCTGAAACAACAGAGCTGCTGAAAGAAAAGGAAATATTGGATCATCTAAACAGGAAAATAGCTGAACTGGAGAGAAATGTTATTGGTGAAAAGACAAAGGTAATTCAGTTATTGTAGCCTGCTGTGTTCTCTGTTACCCTCGATTTTCAAAATATTTTTATATGGTTAATATTAATGGAGCTTATTTGTTGAAATACTGCCTGTAAATTTTCTTCATAAATATGGAAGAAAAATTTATTTTCACTGTCATTTCCCTTTCACAGTATTGTTTTCCAAGGTATGATTGACAAGCAAAAGATAGTAAGCTAAAATAGAAAGACCTGACCTACTGTGAAGATACTTTTATTAATAAAAACACCCCATATAGGCTTGTACTTGGGCTACCTGTTGTTTAAAAGAACAGTATTAATTGAACTGTTCCCTCCTTTATATAATTTGGAGGGAAAAAAAACCAAATTATTTTCTCAGCAAAGGAGCAAAATGAATAAGGGGGCAGTTTTTATCTAATATCATATAGAATACATAATATAAGACATCCATCAAGTATGTAATTTTAAAGTCATTATATTGTTTTGTTTGCTGACTGAAAATTTAAGTACTGAAGACTATTCCCTCTGTAATTAAGTCTCAGAAATTAATTAGTTTTGATATACAGTCACATACTTAATTGCTCTCAGCTACACAAGAAATAGATAGGCACATATTTCCAAAATAAGATTACAGTGTAAGAAGTTTTAAGTGCAGAAATGGAAAGGGCTTGCAAGATGAAGTTGCATCACTCAAGGCAGGGAGTGCTGGTTCCCTCCAGCAGGCTTTTTGCTGGCCTCTTCAGGCATGCAATTGCCTTCTCCACAGGGGATCTGCCACGGCCAATAATACCTCAAGGTCAGGAAGTTTTTTCCAGGGATTTCAGCCAGCGTTGTTTCCTTTTAAAATTTTATCCTCTACCTCATAATTTAGGCCTGTCACTTGTGGAATTGCTCTAGCTAGTCTCTCTTCTTTTCTTAAGCTTTCCAGAAATATCTGTAAGTCTTCTGCATTTTTTGCTTAGAAAAGCTGCATGTTTTTAGCACGTCCACAGTTCCCATTCAATTCACATTTTATAGCTTGCATTGTTTTATTCTGAGCTTTCTGTCCTCAATTTCTGCCTGCCCTGTCAAGAACCTGGCTGCTGTTTTTTGGCTGTGCTTATCATGCTTGTGTCTGAAAAGGAGAATGGTGGTCCCACATCTCCACTCTGTGTGGAGACAGTGCACATCCAGTTTGAACCTCCCTGAACTTCCCTGTCTGCACTTTTCTTTGTGCTTGTGTACCCCTCACTGATCCTTCAGCTTTCAGTGTTGCCTCTGGTCACATTTTAAGTTGCCTACGGGACATGTTTCATACTTGATTTTAGCAGAAAGATGAGTTTAAAGTGGGTATCAGCAGACAGGGTGTGCAACCAGATGCCCTTCAAAAGAATGCTGCTGGAAGTTTTGGTTGGTAAGCGGTAATAAATAACACGTTCGGAAATTCAAGAGATCTTTTGTATTGGCTTTCCAGTACCCTGAAAGTTCAGTTAAACTAATGGAAGTTATTGTAAAATCTGGACAAAATTTAAATTTCCTTGCAGCCACCTGTTAGTGTGTAGGTAGCAAATGACAGGTCTAGATTAAATTTTCAGGTGAAATAAAACATGGAAAGCAGCCTATAAAAAGCACTTTTTGTTTAAAAGGCAAGTTCACTCAAAACATTTTTTTCAGTATGAGGCATGGCACTATTCAGATCAGCTACAAAATTTAGTTGTGTTTTCTTTTGTGTTCCTCGTTGTTTTAAACAAACAAAGAAACCCAGTTGTGAGTGTGTGCTCTAAATGTCAAGCCATGGCTCAGCATGGCTCAGTTAATACTGAAATTATCTTTGCAGGAATACACTCACAGCTGTGGTTTTTGTTTTTTTTTTTTTTGGGAATATGTCTGGAAGCGTTGCATAAAAGTGAAAGTTGAAAATAGAAATGGGAGATGGGCTTCTACAAAGGGAGTAAAGTATAAAGTGACAGCGTAAGTGTTCTGGGGAAAGTAGTGTCCGCCAGAAAAACAGATGGCACTGATCCTGTCAACAAATAAAAGTTCTGTCAGGCTTGAAACAGTAGCATTTTTTAAAGCTTGATTGTTGTATCTATGTTGAAGTTCAAGCAATGCAGATCTGCTGCAAGATAGTCAACATCTTGGCTCTCCAGTAATACAGAATCAGCCCCACCCACAAAAAGGGGGCTCAGGTGGAGGTGATAGGTAGTCTGTTTTGCTGAAATAATTTGATACTTAGGTCAGAATTAAGGCTTGGGTTTTGACCAGGAGTTTCCACTCTGTTGATGGTACTTTTTGTGTTATGTCTTGCTAAAACAAGTGTCCCAGTGTCCACTGGTTGGTCACAGTTTCTATTAGTTGCCTTAATATTTCACCCCTACTGATAGCTGGGGCCTTGATTTTTGGTGGGGCTTCAAGGCAAGAAGCTGTTGGGGTCCCGTATCTTGAACAGTGGTTACATTTCTGCCAGGGTAGGGGAATGGTATCTGAATACACCACATGGTGTTCGTTATCTGGAGGTGAGAGGGAGAGTTCATTTGATGGCAGGGGCATTAGTGCTGTGTCTCGGTCCCTCTGCGAGCCCTCGGCCAGTCCCGAGTAGGCAGACACTGGGGGAGGGGGCAGCCTCCACAAGGCCGACAGTGGGGAGACACTCTCTGTGCCCCGAGGGCACCCAGGCTGGTCACCTTTGCAGCTGAGGGCAGAGACACTAGAGGCATCGGTAGAAGATAAAGGGCCCACTCTTAGCAGGGGTAAATCCAAGGTTTTATTAGGAGTCCCAAAGGAGCTCCTCAGGAGGCCTCCTGCCAAGAGCCCCCGGAGATGTGCAAAGGTTACATTTAAAGGGAGGTGGAAACCAAAAGTAGGTAACATTTTACTAACCAATAAGTGACCCTAAGAGATGGGTACTGGGGGATAGATATTTAGGATAGCGTATGGGGCAAGGCTTGAGGGGCTGACCCCTGGCTAATCACTCGACGACCTGGACCGAAACTTCTAGATGGAGGGATGGGATGGAGTGATTGACAGAGAGCCAGGGTGGGGATTTGCAGATGATCTCATCCTGAGAGAGGGATAACAAAGGTAAAGGGAGGGGAGTACAGTCTGAGATAAACCATTTGGGAAAAATATAGGGATACAAAACAAAACTACTTCAAAGTATTACAAAGTATAAAAATGCACTACAACAGTGCTGTATATGATGACATTTGTCTCTGGAGCAGCTTGAGCATCTCATGAAATTTGCTACTGATCTTGACACCTATTTGACAGGAAACTCCTGCCTTCTTGAGTCTTATCCTTACCCATACACCTGTTTGAAAAACTCTGAAATTCTTAAAAAGAGAGATAATAAACTACAATCTAATTTTTTGGCCATGTTATGTACTTGAAATGAACTGTTTGTAGAAGCTCTTGTACTACCTTCTACCTAACTGTTTAGGATTTTTTTTTTAAATGCCTGTGCATGTTTCATTTAGGTGATGACACAAAGTTTTGCCAACTTTTTCAGGGTATTAGAGCCACAATTTTTAGTCCTTGCAAGGCAAAAGAATTGACTGGAAAACATACTGGAAGTCAGAAGGCAGGAGTGAGTTCAAGATTGGGCTGTCGGTGTGCTCTTTGCTGTGGTGCAATATCTCTGTGTCCCAGCCCCTTGCTGGTAAACCAGGGATGTATTCTGTGAGTGGGTTTATACATTATATGTTAAGCTGCATGCTGGTCTCATCCGAGTCCCATGCTCAACCTTCTCAGATCACGAGGCAGGACTAATACGGGAAGAGGACAAATGAACGTGTGAGGAAGATGATGTAGTGCACACCCTCAGGGTAGTTGAAAGCTTTTCCCTTGCCTTTGTGATTCTGCCACCACACACATTAGAAGGAGTGAAGCACCTTGTAATGGTTTTCTTGGGTTTTGAAAACCAGAGCGATGGGTGATTGAGTTTCAAAAAGATGACAAAACCTTTCAGCACCCCTGCTGTACTTGGGATAGTTCTTATGTGGTACCTGGCCTGTCTACGACCTACCAGTGCTGTCAGGATTCAGTTGTCCTGGCTGGAGTAGCTACTTCCAGAGCTGTTTCACATGGCCTGTGCTTTCAGCTGTGCTGGAAAACATGCTAGCATATGGAGAAAAGTCCAACTTTGCCTCCTTGTCTGGTCTTCTTGAGAACAGCTTCCTTTCTTCTTCCTTTCTTCTCTACAGAAAAAGATGATGACCTACATATGTGAATATCAGCTATTAAGCTATTAATCACAAGTTCCATTTATGTAGAGAGAGCCCTGATAAGTCCTTACTAACACAATTTGACAGATACAGCTTGAAGCTCTCTGGGAAAGAGCTTAGTTATGGATCTTGACAAAATTACTTTAAGCACAGCTTGCTCAAGAGGGAGCTGAGGTGGGCGGTATGTAATAAGTTAGTTACCATTCATACAGAAAAAAGAATTATTATGAACCACCTCTTCTGTCTTATCAACCTCATTCTTAGGCTCCTTTTCATATGCCTGGCATACCTGTTATTTTCTTCTCTTAATAGCTTTTGCCGTGAAACTGACTGGAATTTAGTGACAAAGAATAAAATTGTGGCAAGTTTCATGCATCTGTCCTTAAAGAGATGGAGGAATGCAAGAAAGAGTAGTCAGAAAATACAGAAAAGGAGCATGTACAGTTTGCACAGGAGACCCTGTTTTATTTCAGTGGAGTTTTCTGGTCAGTTATATGTAATTACATTTCTCAGAAACCTGTGAGACTTGTGAGACTAGCTGATTCCATACTGAGAGGGACTGAATGTGCATGTCTGAAGTCTAGCGTGGTTTATGAGAGGTTGCTACCTTAAAACATGATGATTTATAGGTGAGTTGGACTGAGGAAGATCCTGGAGTATTTCAGACCTAGATCATGGAAAGTATGAAAAGTGAATCATTCCGCTTGTTGGGATTTTTATTTCATTTGCCTTGTTGGCTTCTTTACAATTTCTCTCTGAAATTAACACATACCTTGGGGTTTGGAGGGGAATTTTTTTTTGTTTGTTTGGGGGGGGTCTTGGGGGTTTTTTGTGTTACTTTGGAGGACAGGGAGATTTGGAACATTGGTAAGTAAGCTCAAATCACCTAGCCATACAATGCATATCACAGTGAGCTGATAAAATGATAGGGTTCTTACTTGTTTAGGGAGGTTTTGCCCAGTTTTTAGCTAGATTTTCAAGAAGTTTTCTCTATTTCGTCCAATTTACTTTAATTTCTTTAGAGTTTCCATGAGTTTATGCAGAAAGGTTGGTTAACAGGGAATATGTCCGTGCAGCCACATGTTGGTCTACAGTTTTAGCCAGCCAGTCTGCATGCAATAGCAGACTGGGATGGAAGACAAATTGAAAAGCAGCCGCTCTCTGCCGAAAGGATGTGGAAAACCACTAAGGCTTAAAGTAGCAGCATTGATCAGGTATAGGGCATTGTCAACCACTGGAGACAGCACTGGAGCAATTTTGTTTCTCCTTCTTCCTGTTCCCATTCCTGTAGGGGCTGTGATTGCCTTTAATACCATCCTTTTCTCTCCTCTCTGTCATGATCATCTATGAGATGTATTGTGTATATACAGTTTGGGGTTTTTTTGCCGTTTCTTTGCCCTTAAATCAATTTTACCAGACCTAAAGATTGGTTTCCTTTTCTGACCTGTGTTGATCACCTATGGTTGGTGTTCATACTGTGTATCCTCTGCTGACATCCCATCGCTGCCTTTGGGGACAGTGTCACACGTCAATTCTTTTTGCTGCTATCCTCCACAATTCCCTGAAGTCCTCCAAAACTGATCCAAGCATTGCTCCAAGCATGATCAAACCCCAAGTTTGATCAGTCCTGCTTTGTATTTGGGCTGACCCCACATTTGTTCATAATGTTCTTGTAGAGGCAGACCATAGGCCAAGTTGGGCAGTAGGCTAAGACCAGATGTTGCACTTGTTTTCTCTGGAAATAGGATGTTAAGAATTCAGCCAGACTACAGCTGATGTGCCTCTGGCATTCACACTGGGGCTTTCTGCAGAGAGGTATTAACCAAGTCCCACCTCCTGCGGTTAAATGAGCATGAGCAGCAGGAGCATGGGTTCTGTTTCAGCTGTGCTGCCAGTTGCTCTGGAGCAAACAGATGTGGAGTCAGCCACAGACCTGTCTCAGCTGCATCTTAGATTTGGCTTGCAAGGTCACAAATATTTCCCCTTCTAGAAGAACTTGTCTTGATTCACTTATAGAAAACACTGCATGAAAAATTTCTCATTCGCTTCTCTCTTCTCATTCTCATTTAAATGCTTTTTGTAAATCAAATGGACTTTGCACAGCCTGAGACATCAGTGAACTTAACTCCACAGCTGCAAAACATGTAATGCCTCTGTCCTGGTTTAGGGCAAATTTGTTAAAGAATCTGCAAAGGAGGGCCCCTCCAGAAAGCAAAACCCACACGGCCCCTCCCCCCAACCAGTTTGGGAAAAAATTCCTCGGAGAGAAGTGGAAAGAACCTGTTTATTCGACTGGCACAGCACCCCCCGCACACAAAATGAACAACACCAGCTGACACCACTCTGAGAAAGATGACAAAATCAGGAAGTCTCTTTCGGGGTGGTTGCTCTGCTCTCAGTCCCTCCGGCGCTGGGCCAGCTGCTGCAGCCAAACCTTCGGTGTTCCCGGGTCCCAGTCCGGAGCAGGTTCGAGATGGTCACAGGAACAGGAGAGGAGAAACAGTCCGGGAAGGAATTTGGACTGTTTAGCTAAACTAGCTAATAAGCAGAAGCAAAAGCGAGAGCAGAAGCAAGAGCAGAAAAGCAAGCAAGCAAAAGCAGCGAGCTGCGAGCTAGAAGTGAAAACAGCCCTATGTACTGCCTTGTCTCTGTGTCCTGATAAGGGAAACCCAAAAACTTCCACTTTTCAGAGCCAGTCTTAAAGGCACAGAACGGATGAATGGGGATACAAGCATCATAACGTCACCCCAGGACATTGCTGAAAGTGATATTTCCTGTTAAGACTGCACATTTTGAAGGGAGCCAGTTTGGTGGAATCTTAGCACTTCCTATGCTATAAATAGACCAGATGAGTATCGCTTTCAATCTCAAAGGAATACGTTTCTAATTTCTTGAGGCATGTAACAGTATCTCCGGCAGGATTCTCAGGGAGTTTTATGCTTGATGATGTCTCCTCACACTCGAGGTTGGACTTGCTTGTTGATGAATGAGCATGCTTATAGCTGTGCATAGACATTTAGAGAGCTATTTATAGCTTCAGAGGCACTGCAGCTAAGGTCAGAGAAGTCCTTGCTGCTTTGGATGGCTAGGTGGGCAGAAAAGGCAAGTGTGAAATGAGGTGGAAGACTGTGGGCTGAATGTTAAATGGACAACCGAGTTTGTGAGGAGGGGAACTATCAGTTTATTCATAGCTTTCCTTCTGTATTGGAAGTAAGGAGGATTCAGCAAACAGGGCTTCTTGGGAACCGCACTCTGGAGGTGACATCACAGGAGTTGCATGCTTCTCCCTCATTGTGCAGCTCCCTTGTGCTACATCCTCTGTATTTCTGATGTCTGCTGCTGCTGTTGTAAGACAGAGGCTACTACAGGAAGTTCAGGTCATAAAATATGCTGGCTCAGTTGCTATTTTTACAAGCTTAATAAAATCTACTTGTGTTCAGCATAATGTTCATCTGATTGTATGAACTGAGAAGCTGCACGTGTAAATGAACATAATTGAGCTGGGACTCGGGTTGATATTGGACTTGTATAAAAATTCTTCCCATTGTTTTTATATACTGGGAGAACTGAATCCCAGCTCCTGGTCCCACTCAGAGATAAAACCATAAAGAAAGCAGGCAGCTAATAAATGTTTATTTGTATACCTCTGCCGTGCATGGGGGTTTGAGAAACACGTCAGGCACAGCAAAGAGGAAGTTTTCCCACAGTTTGAAATGGCAAGTGCTGTATACTGAAAGACATTTCTTCTCTATGGCAAAGGGTGATGCAATGTCCAATCATACAGTACCTGCTGTACCACACATTTGATTTCAAAATTAAATAATAGTTGGACTGGAAAGAGTGGAAATGAGTATATGCTGTGACAGAACTCAACTGTTCTTGGAGTAATCAGAATACTACTAATTTTTGAGTATTAAGGAGAGCTAGAGACCATCTGGAAGGAGATGTATTACCACCGAACAGCAAGTAGGGAAAGAGAGCTCTACAGGTGTGATGCTACAAGATAGCAGAGAGCCTGGCTTCAGAAACTTACTCAATTATTTTTGCCTGGCATATCAGGCATAAATTGTTTTTTCCAGTTATTAATTGCTGAATTTGAGAAAATGCATCTGCCATGTCAGCCAGTGAAAGACATTGAAAAAATGCTCTGTGCTCTGATTTATTGGTTCCCAAACTTTGGTCCATAGATAAATAACAGTCTACAGCCAAACTTTAAGTGATGTGCAGCCAGTCTTTGGAGCTGTGTTGCACAGTAAATCATGTAGTGTTTGATTACAAAGATTAAAAGGCCAAAGGCTTTGGAGGGTGAGAAGCAGTGTTCTGAGTACTGTTGCTTGAGTGGAACAAAAGGAAAGTTGAACTAGTTGAAGGAGACCAGGAAAGCTGTCCCCTGTGATCCCCATGGACAGGTTGCAGTTCCTATATCCTGATGCAAATTTGCTCGATCACTTGATATTTCTGCTGCAACAGGATTTCCTGGCCAAGAGTTATTTCTTTATAATGCTCTGTCTCCTTCTGGCTTGTCACTGTTTGCTAAATGTATTTATCTCTACAGAGCCACACAGGCATGAAATTGATTCTCCTAGGAAGCTCCATTTCTCTTTCACTACAGTCATTTTCCATCTACTTTGCTTTCTAAAAGCTACTCTTTCTCAGCTTCATCAGTTACCTCACTGACATGGCTACAGTTCCCTTATTTATTTTTTTTCTTACATTAGGTGAGACAAGTGTTTGGGCAAGGGGGCTTTAACAGCACAGTGATGAGAGAAATAATCACCCCCACTAAAATGATGAATGTTTTGCTTTGATTCTTTTGCATCCCACCACTGCATTTCAACTAACAAGGTTTCTGTTTCTGACCTGCGTGGTTCAACTGTTTAGTAAGGTTTTGCCACACGCTGTCATAATCACTAACAACTGCTTGGGTTTGAAGGTAATTGTCTTTTATTTTCTGGTTCATGCTTCAGGAAAAATTAAAACTTGATGCTGAGAGGGAAAAACTAGAGAGGCTTCAGGAGCTTTACTCCGAGCAGAAGACGCAGCTTGATAATTGCCCTGAATCCATGAGGGAACACTTACAGCAACAGCTGAAGAGGGTCAGTAGCAAGTTTCAAGACTGCACTATTTTTTTAAAATTTTGTTGATTTTTAATTTTTTTTTTTTTTTTTTTTTAGCTAAGCGTAACATTTTCTCTTTCAAGTATCCAGTGTCTGAACATATTTGCAACTTAGAATTGTAACAGTCATGAGGATTATGGTTTGTGGTTTTTTTGTGGAATGCTTGTAATAGATTATGTGCGTGATTGCAAACAAGTAACATGCAAATGTGTGGATTAGAAATCATTTGGTGTTGAATTTTTCTAATGCTTTGCATCACTTGCCTGTAATTAGCCCTTTAGGCCTGCTGGGTTATTTGGAAACTGTTGTGATGTTTAGATGGATGGTGGAACATCATTCTTCATCTGTGTGAGCAAAGACAGGAATTGGCTGGTAAATTACCATTTCAGTGAAGCTATGGATAACTTCTTTTTTTTCAATATATAACTTAGCTGTTAGCCTTAACTGTAGTTTGAAAAGTTAATTTTGAAGATTTTACCACTTGCTAAAATAGCTTTATTTTGTTCTGTATTTTCAACAGCATCACATTGGTATAAATAAACTTTTCATAAAGTCTAATTGCAACTTGATTTTAGTTTGTAATATTTGTAAGCAAAAAAAATAGAATATTGGCAGTGAAAGCACCCTTAGTTTCAGTGAAAAAGTCTTAATATTCATTAGCCTTAAGTAGGTTATGCAGCACATATAGTTAGCTTTAGTAGGTGGGGAAAATAATTTTAGAAGCATCAGTATGGGACGCTCAAGATGCCATCTAAAAGTTAAATCTTTTTTTCTGTCTTGAGAATAAAGGGTGTAATAGCAATAATGAAAAAAGGGCTTTTTCTGCTTTATAGGAAATACTCTTTAGATGTTGCTTTATTTGCAGAATTCTATTTTGTTTTTTCGAAGAGCGAAAAAAAAGTCCAGCTTTGCAAAGAACAATGTTAGATTCTCAGTTGCTACAGAAAGTTTGCTTGTTTTGAGACACTTAAAACTTTTGTGTGTTATCTTAAGAAAAAAGGAAGAGTATTATGTAATGTCTCATACATATTAAAAGGAAAGGAAGCTTTTCCTCTGCAGTCACATGCTTGAATGTACTGATTCATGAGATGCTACAGTCTTGTTGCTGTGGGATGGTAGTAAATCTCTTTTCACTAGACCACCAAGATGCTTCTAGAAGTCTGTTTGGTTAAATTTTTTAAATTATTTTTTTAATGATTTTTGTTCCTTGCAAGTCGTCTTAATAATGATTTTGGATTTGAAAGTGGGACAAAACTTGAAATGTGTGGGTATGGTTGTGTCCAGTTAGTTCTATTGCATATTGTTCCAGGCCAGTTGTAATGAGAGTTTGCTGTGGCTGCTGTGGTCAGTACAGTAAAAGTTATCACTGAATTAGTGCCCAGTAGCTTCAAACTGATCTCAAAATGTGAGAGCAGTCATGAAATGATTGTAAGTATTTTACCCAAAATAGAGAAAATATCTTCCTGAAAAATAACGGGCTCCCAACAAAAGAAGGACATGGACCTTTGTGAGTTCAGAGGAGGCCACAAAGATGACCAGAGGGCTAGAGCCTTGCTCTTGTGAGGAATGGCTGAGAGAGCTGCGTTCAGCCTGGAAAAGGAAGGCTCCAGGGAATCCTTACAGCCCCTTCCAGTATCTAGAGGGGTCTTCTACAGAATTGGAGAGGCACCTTTTAAAAGAGCAGGTAGTGATAACCCAATCACATTAAACTGAAAGAGGGGAGGCTCATATAAGATGTTAGGCAGAAATTTTTTACACAGAGGTTGGTAAGGCTCTGGAACGGGTGGCCAGAAAACTTGTAGGCTCATCATCCATGAAAATGTTAAAAGTTAGGGACTTTGGATGGGACTTTAAGCAACTTAGTCTAATGTGAAGTTCCCTGCCCATGGCAGGGGTTTGCAATGAAGTGATCTTTAAAGTCCCTTCCAACCCAAACCATCGTGTGAAATACCTTAGTCTGCAACATGTTCTGTTGTGCTACTTTACTGACAAAAAAGAAGGCATGAAGGAGACAAATTCCCTGATGGTTCTCTGGGGCTTCAGTAATTTTTGCCCAGGGGAGTGGGCAGCCAATTTCACTGTAGCAGTGTCATGGTTTGACCCGGAAACAGGATTTCTGGGATGCTGTAGATAGGGCCAATGAGTGTTCAGATTTGAATATTGCCATCTGGCCCAACCACTGGGCATTGGATCCACCTCTGAGAACACAGGGTAAAAGCAGGGCTCTCCCCCTGGCAGGTGCTTTTTGGATTTCCGGCGGGAAGGAGTTGGGTCTCTCCCCCGGCCCAGTTGCTGGCTGGGCGGGGGGAGGGGAAAAGGCATGCGGCCCGGCCCGGGAGAGGTAGGCCTGGCCCCCCAAGGGTGGAAGGAAGAAGTAAAGAAATGCCGGGAAGCAATGGGCAGCCTGTTCCCCCCCCCCCCCCCTCCTTGGAGACAGACAGAGAGAGAGTGCAGCCTGTGTTTGTGGCCGTTACCTTGAAATTTAGTAAACGTGTGCTGGCAGCAGGCAGCCTGGCTGAGATGGGGGTGGGGGGTGCAGCCAGGAGTCCAAAGAATGGAGAAGATGGAGTGGGAGCCATGTTTCCGTGTGATACAGAGACTGAGTCCAGGGGGAGAAATGTCCCAGAGCCAAAGAAGATTCAGTGTGGGTACCCCTCGGCCCCAGGGGGCATATAAAATATGGGGGGGACAGATGTCCCAAAGGTGAGATACCGTGCTTTTCTGGAACTGGACAAAGTATCCTTAGAAAGACAACCCTGGAAGCAGCCCTGACTCCTGTTTGGTGGTGAGAGCACCGGAACAAGGACGGAAAAGGCCACCACGACACATGGAAGGACTCCCTCTCCTCTTGAGGAACTGAAAGTTGAGCATTCTAGAGGGTGGTGCTGGATCCAGAATTGGTGATTCTGGAAGATGTATTGTATTGGGAATTTAGGGGGGAGGAGGACGAGAGTGTTTTTGTGAGGTTTTCATTTTCCTTGTGTTTTCTTTTTCTTTTTGTGTGTAGTTTAGTAATTGTTTTTGTAGTTTAGTTAATAAACTTTTCTTTTTTTTCAAGTGAGAGCCTGCTTTGTTTATTCCTGGTCAAAATCTCACAGCAGACACCAGAGAAAGTGTATATTCATGGGGGCATTTGGCCTTGTGCCAGTGTCAAACCTTGACAAGCAGTTGGCTGCAGGGTGGGGCTGGAGTTGGGGTTGTAGTGGGCAGATAACGAATTCCGAATTCTTGCTTCCTTGTACCTGAAACACATATATACTCTCCCTGTTGGGCAGGAAGTGTATTTTAAAGGCCCCCAGTTGGCTTTTTCATCATCAGTTGCCTTCTCTGAAGTCTGTTCTATTGCCTTAGTGGCAATTACTGTTGTGTACAATAGGCTAAATTTACTGACTCTCATGGCCCAGGCAAAGCCTTTTGGTATTTTTGGGGATGCTGAAGATGTCTGGCTAGTTCTGTATTGTAGATAACTGCTTTCCTGTAAATTTTACCCAACACCTTTGCTTTTGATCTCTTCACTATCTCCTACAAGTGAAGAGCACGTCTTTGGAGAGTAAGGGGAAAATATGTGTATTCCATGTATGAACTTGGATTCTTCAGTTTCTGCATCCTGTGTCTTTCTCTGGTACACTGGAATCTGCTTTTGAATTCCTACCTGTCTTAGTAGTAGCTTATGTTGGCCACTAACCTTTGCCTTAGGTTGAAATAAGAAAAGGAACAAGTTTGCATTCTTCCAGGATGTAGGTTTTCTTGTGTAGCAAGTCATGTGTCTGTTTTAGAGAGCCTTTCCATTTACTAATGCTGCAATTATTGAATACACCCTTTTCTTCAACACTCTGAAACTTGTAAGCAGGAATTCATATTATGAATGCACAGATGTTGCAGGAGGGAAGATTAGCATTCATTCATTTCTTGTGCTGAAAAGCACCATGCGTTTTATCTCATCATCCCTAAGCAGAAAAGCAGGTGTGTTCTTATTTCTTGGTTCATTTCTGCAGCATTCGACTTCTTTTTCTGACAACACATGGTATCAGTTCAGGGGAATGCATAAAAATTTGCTGGTACATTTTCTGAAGTACTGTCTGTACTTATTGGCTAGGGTGGATGACTAGAGTCCCTAATTGCACAGAGAACAATTTTCAGCAGTTAATTCCACGTGCAGTTCTCTAGGTTACTGGTGCAATACTTTGTCCTTTTTGGTTGGAAAGCAGATGTCCTCTGAGTTTGGCATGTGACAACCTCTCCAGGTGGGTTCAGGCTTTGGTGGTGTCCCAGCCAGGCTACAGCAGAGCCCAGCCAGCTCGGGAGGCTGCACTTGTTCTGAGTGCTGCAAAACAGCTCCCTCACAGTGCAGATGCTTCTTAGCAAGAGGCACAGTAGGAGTTGATGGAGAAAGCAATATCAAAACAATAATTAGCCCTGTTTATTCTCTTAATTTGCAAGAAGGTCATTAAAAGTATTGAGATCCTGGTGAGACATGTTGTTGGAAATAGATAAATATAATTTTAGGCTGATGTTTGTGTTTGTAAGTACCTCTACTGTGGTGTCAGCAAAAGCATTATTATGTTTTTTTATATTACCTTTTTCTTTTTTTCCTTAAGGATGCTGATATTCTGGACATAGAAAGCAAACACTTTGAAGATTTAGAATTTCAGCAGCTTGAACATGAAAGCAGGTTAGATGAAGAGAAGGAAAATCTGACACAACAGCTCCTGCATGAAGTTGCTGAATATCAGCGCAGCATTGTCAGTAGAAAGGTAACAGCATCAACACTCGAATAATTTGTTCTTTGTTGTTGAGCATAAGGGCAAGGAAAGGGATCTACAACCTGCCTATCTGCAAGAAATAATGCAAAACATTCCACTTTGAACGAGTTTTTGAAGCAGAGAATGGCCCAGTGGCATCCCACATAGATCAAATAATATCCTTATCCAAGAAGAAAGAAATAAGTAACATTTCATGCCCTGTTTACATATTTCATATGAAAATCAAAGCCCTTAATTTGCTCAAAAAAAGTACCAAAGTTTTGGTTTTTTCTTTTTTCCTCTTTAAGAAAGGAGATTTATACTCTCTGGACAAAACTGTAGTTATTTTAGGCTTGATAATGATTTTTCTGTTAAATGGTTTTGTTAAAATAATAGTAGAACACCAGATTAAGAAAAGACAGTCATTTTAAAAATCAGTTTGAAAGGTGTTATCTCAATCAATTAATACCACTTTTTTCAGAAATCACAGGTTGGATCAATAACCAGTTCTGTTCAGTATATGGATGCTTGTCACTATATTATCAAAGAATACATGCAATTATTCCTTTGTCTCTTGAATAAGTTTTCTCTTTACTGTCTAATTCTTATTTATCTCCTTCAGAGCAGTGAGCTGTCTTGTACAAACTTATTTTCCTGCTGCTTAGCCATGCATATGAAGTGAACTTTCATAAGTAGGATTTTACTGCAGGTTGTCTTGAGATTTGAAAATAAATAATGTAAATTGTGATATTCTTATATTAGGAAAAGGTTTCTGCTCTCAAAAAACAAGCCAATCATATTGTCCAACAAGCACAAAGAGAACAAGATCATTTTGTAAAAGAGAAAAACAACTTAATAATGATGCTGCAAAGGGTAAGTATTTTTTGTCTTTCAAACATTTTTGGCAATAAAAGAGCATTTCATAGAATAAAAGAATGTAGAGCAGAAGAAGAACATCAGTTGTGCAAAAGATAGCAAGTTGGTAATAATGTGACAGACATTCACCTTCAAAAAAAAAAAGGAAATCTTTTGCAGTCAGTCAGCAGGTGTTCTTAAGAGAAACACTGCTGGTATTTGATAATCAAGAGTGTTTTAGAGGTGCCCTCTTTCCCAAGGACTCAAGCAGAGGCACCCTCCCACATGCTAAAGCTGGAAGCCTATGTTCCCTTTGTGGCTAGTGGGACTCTGCACAGAGTGCTCCGATTTTTGGCTTTAATGAGGCCATGAGATGAGCTACTGCTCATCAGCTAACGTCTGGTTAATAAGAAGCTGTCATGAACCCTTCATGTCCATTTTATATTTTGCTTTTAATCATGAGAGAAACCATGTTTAGCTCACTAAGCAGAATCATAATTTTCAAAACGTTGAAGGAGCACTTACCTGGTTTGTCTGTGGTTGTTAAATAAAGCATTTTATTTGTTTGTTGTTCTGTACCTCCAATTTTGTTCAGTTCTGTTCTAAAAGGATGAAGCTGAAGCTCTGCTATGTGCTATGTAGTTTCAGTCTTGTATCCCAGTGTGCTTCTTCACATAGTAAAGGAAATGGCTAACATTTATTTTCCCTACTTGGCTGTTGTTATTTAATATAAAATGTCTGGTTTTAACAGGAAAAAGAAAATCTCTGTAATCTGGAAAAGAAATATTCCACACTTTCTGGAGAAGAAGGATTTCCTGTCAGTCCCAATAGTCTGAAAGAGGTAAAGAGCTTCTCTGCTTTTGACGCTACCATAACTAACTTTTAATAATGCCTCATACAAAAGCACTTCAGTATGTAGTATTGAGTGAAGTCCTAGTCATCAAATCTTTGCAAAGTAATTTCATACCATTTTTTAAACTTATTCGTAGAAGGCTAGATTCACTAGTGAGCAAAAATAGCTTCTCTTGACATTCTTCCAAATGTAACTGGTATCGTTTTAATCTCTTGCTGTGGAGAAATTATTGGTTTTATGTATGTGGAGTGTGCCTGTATGTCTAATTTTCTCAAAATAGACAATCAAACTTTATTGAAGTGAAGAAGAATTAGATCTGGGAATAACTGTTCAAGTACAAATACAATTTGGTCTTATTTTTGCACTGTAGATTTTATTATTGCCTCCCTTCCTCATTCCAAGACCCTTTACTAAAGCATGACAAATGTACATTTTGTTCTTTTTAAAAAGCATTGATTTGAAGACTTCAAGCTATTGTGGTTCTAAGATATGTATTGAGCTATTTATTTCACTTTTTTTGAACAGTTAGAGGAAGCAGAAAATTTAGCATTTAAAATACACTGACAGGCATATGTGGCTGCTTCATTAACTTCTTCTTAAGAGTTCTGACTGAACTTGCTGGATTTGCTTGTCTTGAAGCCCTGACCAAAGTCTGCCACATATAGTGATGTAGGTGCCACTCTGGGAAGTTGGGCTCTCGAAGTCTAAAGCTACCACAACCTTTCAGTACCTGGGAACTGGGGTCTTGCTTATATGATCTCCAAGTTCCCAGTGTGCAATTTCACTTGTCAGTGGGATTGAGCACCCTTCCTTTCTTGCTTAGACTTTCAGCGTCCTAGGTTGTGTTCTGACCTGGACATCTGTCCTCCCACCAGAACATCTGGCAAGTCTAAGTTTCATTTTTTTCCTTTTGAGATGGATCTGCCCATTCTCTCATTAGAGAGTGGGTGCTGTCTGGTTGGTTTTTCTCACACACAGTTCATGGCTTGTTTACTCACATACTTCAAACTGCAACTACATTAAGTGAGGCTACACTCTTTTAAAAAAGAAATGGATAATTTAATGGTGTCAGTCTGATCACCGCAGTGAAGTCAGTCAGGACTTACTCCAAGGCAAATAAGAGAAGGAACAGCAAGAGTTACCTGTTTCATTCTCAGTGTTTCCATATGCTCTGTGCTACAAAAAAACCCCTTTGCCAGATGTCATGTTTGTCTTGGTCCAGTTTAATTCTTCTCTGACTGCACTGGCACTTTTGAAAATCAGGCACCAAAGACAGGCTTACAGAGACTGCTGAAACAGCAGTTCATTTCACCATAGGGTTGCTACGCATCAGTTGAGTCTGTGGTCCAATGTTTGCCAGCTCTCTTCACCAAAGCACACATTTGCCTCTGCCATCCATTGTGAGCTGGCTCACAGCCTGCACAGCAAGAGTAACACTGCCATAGGTAAAGAAGCAGGATGCTTATCCCACTACTTAAATAAGCAGGGAAAATCAATGCTGTTTAAAAGTTCAGCATTGAAAAAATTACTTGGATGACTAATCTGACTTGAAACCATTTATTTAATTAAATGTAGCAGGGGTCTGAGCTAGTGCAAAGCGCAGTCATTTGTTCTTCACTTAGTTTTTTATTCCCCTTTTAAATCCTCACTGGCATTGTGAGTCAGAACTGAATGCTCTTCATATAAAGGTGAAAGTGTTTATATCTTTATAATTAACACAATATTGCATTGCAGAATTGCTGAGTTTTGGTTACTGATAAACTGCCACTACAAGATGGTTAAGCAATTTTTATGTTAATTCATTCTGGATTCTATTTTACTGTACTGTAGTCATATGCTTTGAGAGATAAACTTTAGTATCTTAGCCAGTTTCCTTAATTAATGGCTCATCAAATAATATGAGAGTTAAGGTTTGCCTCCTATTTGTAGAGTGCTTTGTTCACTGTATGATGCATAATTTTACAGGATTGTCTTCTATGATTGAACTAACTGATATCATACATTGAAAATTATGCTCATAGATAATCTTGATATTACTTTTCAAGTTGTCTTCTATGATCATTGGTAAATTTAGGCATTTCTAAAAAGAAGTAGTCGTATAGCAGTGTGTGCCTTCTCTTACAGAATTGCCGAAGTATATGTTGGTGCAGTAATAGAAACACAGCCCTTGCCAGACACTATCAGTGTGAAATCAGCTTTACATCTTGATTTAAAAATAATCATATTTCTAGCTCTCCTTTATGGCATTGCTTCAAGAGTGACTTACTCTTACTTTTGTATAGCCTCGTTTTCTATGGATTAGAAATTAGGACATTTTACTTTTTAAAACCTGGTATCATATGCACAATGGATTAGAATCCACATTTTACTTTTTAAAAAACATTTGTGCAGTTAACACCGAAATACATGCAATAACCACATTTCGCCCTCATATCTTAAATCTGCTTGCATAAATCTCAGCAGGCAGCAGCACACTGATGTTCATGCCATGCCTCAGTCTATCACTTTCTGTATGACTGCTTAATTAAAAAAAATAAATAAATAAAAGCAAATCATGATGGCTGCGGGATAACACTAACAGCATCTTACCTGGTTCTTCTGGTAACAAAAGTTAGAAGTGTCTTCCAGGCAATGCAAATGGAAGATGTGTTAGTGTAATTTCTGAGAACAACTTGTCCTTATAGAAGTTCTTCTCAATTCTGTTAGTCATTTGATTTACTCAAATTAGCCTAATATTTAGGCAAGAAACAAATCAGGTTATTTAATCAGAAACAAAAAAATTAAGATCTCAGAATAAGATTTATTCTTCCATTTTACCCAGTCTGCTTTCCTGAGAAAGAGCTATATAATTTCTAAACGGTATTTGCCTTTTAGTAAAATCTTTTGGACACTTAATGTTCATTTGCAATTTGATTAGACAAATGTTTCTGGAATTAAATTAAGAACAATTTTCAGAATCCAAGTATTTAACATTCAAAAATCTTGATGCTAATTTTATTTTATTTATGATTAAGTATTTCAATGATAACAAAGATTTGGCTGAATCACTCTAAACTAACTTTCATTTTACTGGGAACATTAATACTCTTGCATGTCTTTTTTGGCTTTTGCTGCTTTTAATTTCTGAATTCCTCATTTTAGGGCTATATCTGTGTAAGTGAAATTAGTGAGCTGTATGGCAATTCCACGAATATATCCCCTTCCACTCAGACCCCCTCAGATGTTGAAGCAGTTGCCACTGAGCCTTCCACGGCTGTGCTGACGAGCCAGCCACAAAATAAAGAGGTTTGTTTGAGAGACATTTCCCTTTGTTTGCATTGTTCTTTCATGGCTGCCTTTTTTATTTTTTTTTTTTTTTTATTTTTTGGTAATTCAACATGTAACAAACTGACCCTAAAGCAAACTGCCTCTGCAAGTTACCAAGTTAGATAACAGGTTAATAGTAAAGCTGAAGGACTGCTCCAGCTTTAAGGTGTCTTTGATGAGGTAGATGGGACCCTGAAGGCCAAAAAACGTGAACTCTTATGACCCAAGCAGCACTAAGCAACAAACTTTGCCTGCCCAACACTACAATGTATTGCAGCTTTGGGAAACCATCTGTGGACAAGCTTATGACAACTTGATTAGTGGTGTTCAGGTGTTCATTTTGTTTTGTAGCTTCTTTTTCTTTTCCCCCTGTAAGGTGGTAGAAGAATATCTTGAATAGTTGTGGGAGATTAATAGCTTCTACCCATCTTAGCTATTCCATGGAGTCTGTCCAGTCTGTTTTGTAGCTTACTTTCTCTTCCTCATTCTTGGTGAAATTTTAAATAAGTCCCCTTTTAAAGGAATGGAATAACCTTATAATTGTAAATCCACTTACTTTTGCATTGCAAAAAGTCAGAAACTGATTTAGAATTTGGCATTTGTTTGCTGCTTCTGGTAGCTCAGTATGCCATGACAGTTGCAATAGAGTACACCTCCTTCCTGCTAAACACTCCAACAAACACAGTGCTAAAACTGCAGCTTTTATGTGCCATATCTTTTGAAAAATTCCAAAAAGAAAACTCTGTGTGTAATTTCTCTTTTTTCTATAAAGCTAAGATCACCTCTCTGTTCTGGATTTGTGTTTCCTCATTCTCTTTCTCCTCGCTCTATTGCTCAACTTCCATCAGTCCATTGGCCTGAGGTCATGGCTACTCATGTAGATCCTATTCCTTTATCTGATACACCACCACCTCTGCCAGCTAAGAAACACTGCAGGGAACAACAGGTAACAGATTCAAAGCTGATAAATTGTGATTATTTGTTTTGTTTGCTTTTGATATGATGGCCACAAATTTGATTTATACATGAGGACTTTAGTGTGATACTCTAAGTTGACGGACTGCTCATTTAAAAATTAACATGATCTATTATAGAATGTGTCTGAAAAAAATTCACCTTATAATGCAGAGGCAAATATTAATATTCAGGACTCATTGTAACTTTCAGAGGACTTGCAGCAATAATGTATGTGTGAAATCCTAAATTAATTTTTCATATACATTTGAACAATGCCTTTCAAAAGTCGTATTGTTTTTAAGCCACCAATTCATTAGAATAACTTCTAAGGAAAAGTTTTTCTTTATAATTGGGTTCCACTTCTACACTAGACTTGAATATTTAACACAAAAGAAAAGGTACAGGGACATGTACATACAATGTGTACATGAATTTAATGCATTTTTAAAATCAGTATGATTTTAATGGGATGGAAAGCACTGTGAAGCTGGAGATGCTCTGTATGTTAGATTTTGTTTTTTCCAGACTATCAGTATTGTCCGTATAGAGTATAACTGAGCAAGTGCATCAATTCTTTTTATCAAAACTGTAACAAATTCCCCATTAAGCATTTCAGAAGCCTGGAGGAGCGCAAGAAGCAGCACAGGGAGGGCACGTACCTGAGCGATACTCTGCCCCGCAAGAAAACAACCCCATCCATGTCTCCCCACTTCAACAGCGCCACGCTGGGACGCAACATTGCAAACAAAGTACGTGCCTGCTGCTACTTACAGCCTTCCAGCCTCTGCAGGAAATCCAGCATTGGGTTACAGGGAAGGCTGGGTAGCGCCCTAAGCATTATGTAACCCCCCCCAAATTCACACATGAAGTTGACTATGAAATGACTTGAGGGTCATTAACAAATGGGAATGTATGTGAAAGCATCTGTACTTTCGGCCATTCTTCTGACCTCTGGAAATGCTGAGCTGTAGAACATTAATCATAAATACACAATTTCTATATCAAGGATTATATTTTTTGACTGGTTTAAATTGATTCTAGAGACACAACTTGTTGTTTTCTTTCCTACTGAAGGCCTCTAAATGGTAATGATAAAGTTATATATAAAGGAGAAATACTCTTTATTTTTGATGTGGTCAGTCAGCAAACAGCAGGAGGGTGGAGGTACTGCTTTGAAAACATTTTGGCCTAATAGACACTGTACACAGCTGGCTGATTGATATGACATGACACTAATATCCATGAAAAAGCACATTATTTTGCCATTGCTGATAAAAAAAAAATCTTGAAATACAATTTTAAGCACGTATTTACAAAATTTCCTGTAGGGACATTTACCATTAGGACAGAGCAACAGCTGTGGCAGTGTACTTCCTCACTGCCTGGCAACCATGACCAAAGAGTTGGAGTCAAGAAGGATGCACAAAGGTAAGACCTTTTAATTGTTGCATTTCTTTTTAAAATTAGTGTTCCATTTTTCAAAAATAAGCCTGAAACTAGTGTTGCTATGATCAACTGGTCTGCAAAATAAAAGTTTACTTCTTGGTGACAAAAACAAGCTCCAAATGTAACTCGTTTTTTTTATATTGGCATAATAAGAGGTTAATATTATGATGTAGGTACATGTGTAGTTTTTAAGTGCATGGTCACCAAATATAATCCCGTAAATAAGAAAACTATATTCAAAATACACATTATGTTAACTGGGTAATTTCTGCAAGTGATTTTGAAGCACTATATTACATGTTCTTTCTTATTCTTCCCTTTTTTTTTAATGTTGGGATCTTAAAAAATGTGTTTCACAGGCACATGTTTTTGTCTGGATAAATTCCGCAGAAAGAGATAACTTTGAGAAGCTGTGACTGTGATATTATAAGTGGTCTTAAATATTTAGGCTACAAAACAGAAAGGGAGAGAGCTGTTCTGTTGTTGATAGATGGCTGGGTTTGTTAATAAGAACTCAGCAATTCTGGATCCAAAAAAAACTACACCTCTGAAACATGATCTTGTAGGCTATGGGATTCTGTGTCTGCTGTGTGTTGACTTGAGTTGGTACATATATTTTTTTTGCTTTAGTGAGACATATCATTCATAAGTATCCCATCTTCAAAAAGAGGCACTCCTCAGTGCCATCTGTCAGTTTATTTTCTTTCCAGCATCTGCATCACCATTGTCGATACCAGTGCAAGAGGTCCTTGTGTAGAGCTACACTAACTGAGCCTGAGCTGAGCTAGATCCATCCATCTCATTGTTACAGGACTTGTCAGAGCTTGCAGCTGTTAAAGGTCGCAGTGACTGAGGTCAGTCATATGCACAAAGATGACTCAACACAGCGATGGAACAAGCAAGCTGGAAAAGGATCATGACATGCTCCTTTCCAGAGCTGATCCTGTTGTGATTTGTTGGTTTTGAGCTTTAGCTATGCAGCAGGCCTTACAGAAACCTGCAGTGTTGTGGCTAACTTATCTTTACATATTTCAGGTGCAATAAAAAAGGAGCTTCATGCTCGGCTTGGAAAGTGTCTTCAATGTAATGTGTGTGCGAAGGTGGAATAGCTGGCAATTATGTTCAGAGTCATCACTGTGATGTTATTTCAGTCTGAAAATCAAGAGGGGTGTTTTGGCTAAACTCTAACAAGAGATCAAGTATTTAAAATTGGAAATACTTCTGTAAAATCAAGTCAGACTGCTATGTCAGCAGTCTTGTAGATCAGGTAGATCAGGTTTGCCTTTTCAGGATAAGTGAATACTTTTCAGAAGATATGCTGACAAATCAATGGAACTTTGTAAATGTATAGAGACTGATTATAGTGATAAATATGAGCTCTCTAATCTTCCTGCTCCAAAAGTTAGTTGTTCACCTAAAAAAAGGTGATGAACAGATAAAAAGTGTTCTCTACCTGTCATGTGTAGTGAGTCAGCACTTGCTTTCCTTGTGTTTCTTTCCCCACTTGACAGGTCTTTCACTCCATCAGTTTTCACTCTGTCAGTTTTCCAAGGTGTTCTATTGCAAACAACATGGGTGTCTTGGCTTCCTGATACCTTGGGCATAGAGCTGCACCCAGTGCACTGGAACTGGGTTCAGTGGGAAGACAGGGTCTCACACGACAAATGCCACTTTATCCACTCAGTCTAGAGCCCTGGCTATCAAACAGTGACCCACACACTGCTATCCAAAGAGGATGATGTGCTCCAGAGATGGTGTTAGTACCTTCCTGTGCTCCTTAGAGCTCAACAGCATCGAGCAAATTTCTAGACCAGATGTTCTAGTGTGTGCATGTAGATCTGAAAACAAGTATGTTCAAGACTGGCTGGAGGCAGTAGCAGCTCAGCTGGTTTAAAGATATTATCTGAGTGTTATCACTAAACTAGTCATGGTCCAAAGTGAGTTTTCTCCAATATGCTTTCTCTGGTTTTTCTTATTTCAGTCCAAGAAGATAACTGTAAAAGTCTGAGCTGAAAAAAAAAGGACAGTTAAAAGTGAAATCAGGAAATTAAGAGCAGCCTCTTGGGTTTTAACATGGAGTTCATTCTCATTTTCTTTATGCAGGAACAAGCACTATCTATGAATAAATTTTAGGCTGGATGCAGTAATAAATATTTTCATGGATTTCAAAGTAATAAACAGTCCTTATTCTAGGATTACCAAACCATGTTCAGTCATAGGAGTTCAAGAATTGTTACTGAAAGAAACAGTCATAGTCAGTAATCACAGCCTGAGTTAAGGGCAACTTAAATGTTTTAGAGGACACATATTTGTTGTAAATCATTAGTGGAAAAGGTATTTCTTAGCAGCCATTCATGAGGTATTTTTGACAGACTGTATTTATAAACTGACCTCCTGTGGACATGTCATTGAAACCAAACCATATGCAAAAACAGAGTGAAGAAACTGCTGTTTGGTACCAACTCGAGACCTCACCCTGCACAGGTGGATGCCTGGAGGTCCCAGGGAGTGCTGGGTGCCAGAAGCTTGCACAAGGAGGGAGGGTTAGCCAATGCAGTCCCCCTGACTTTAGGATGGACTCCAGAAGGAAAGAAGAAATGGTTAGCTGGGAGTTAAGGTGTAAGACCAGACACAGTGCTGGGAACAAAGCTGTTGGGACAGAGAACTTACATACCAATAAGATGATTATTTGTGTCCTTTCTAAGCTCTGTATTAAAAAAACAATATACTGCAAGCAAGGGATATTTGTACAGACAATCTAGAAACTTTTCAAAGGAGTCAGCCTTTTTTGTTTGTTTTTCAGTCTTTTACTTGTCAAACTCAGGAAAAAACAGAAGAGGTATGAAAATATCCCCTTCCCTGGCTGTATTCTTCATGTGATATTTTTGCAAAAGTACCAGTTGCATCAGCACTATCAAGCAGTTCCTAGACTCTTGAAAAACTTTAAAATAATTGTTAAATAATGACAGCATTTCAAAAATTCTTTTTTCCTGCTGTCAAATAACCTGCCACAACAAAAACTTCTGACTGATGCTAATAGCTGCAGAGCTATGGCTTTGCACAGGCCTAATTTTTCGCTTCTTTGCTCATAGCCACACAAGTAGAGCAGAAAATTCAAAAATCTTTGCAGCTCTGTGAGTGACAGTGACAAGGTAGACAGACTTGAGATTCCTACTTTGGCATGTTTCCACACAACAAATGTATCTTGACATGTTAATGTCAGTCTTTACAAATGGGAAGAAAAAAAAAGAGAAAGAAGAAAGAATACGAATAAAAGAAAAATGTAATGGGATCATTTTCATAAAATACTAGTGGGTTTTTTACATACTTGGCAGTGCAACTTTTAATAACAGCTTTCACCTTTAGTTCTATCCTCACTATAATTTTGTGGTGTATATCTGGATTTTGTAATTCTGCAGTAACTTCTTTGGAGTATTTTTCTTTGATGACATGGCTTTATGGGTTTTTGCAATATTTTTCTCAACGGTATGGCTGTTAACATTGTTAAGGTTAACACTGTTTACAGGTTTGCTGCAGAGCAGTGGAACTCTGTAGTAAAACCTATGCAACAACAAATATTTTCGCTCTTGTATCAGGTTAGACTTCACTGATAAAATCTTGGCTTGTGGGAAATTTTAGTTAAGTACTGGATCTTACAAGTAGTCAAATATTTTTAAGTGCATGTTGAATGAATAGGCACCTGAGCAGCTATAAATTCCTTAAACAACAGATTGTAGCTGCCTAGTATGTGCATGTGGCTGTAATGGAGGTAGGTCAGTTGTGAAGCCTTGTGGTATTGGTTCACAGCTGATCCTCGGCTTTGAGGTTCGTGCTGCTTACAGCATGAAGATAAAAGATGAACACTGAATTATGCTTTGTTTCTGTGAATGCATCTCATTTTGCAACCTAAGAAATGTTGATGTCTTCCACTGTTTAGTTATATTTGCATGATTGCATAAATTTGACTAATAAATGTTTTCTTCAAAAATGGGTTCTTTATCTTAAGCAGTAGAGTGTTTGTAGCATTGCTATGCTGCTCTATGCCTTTTAGATGGGTTTATTTTGCAGTGAAATATAAAATATGGAATTAAAATTTCTGAGTAGGCAAGGATTTGTAGAGGGCTCATCAGAAAAACATGCATTTGAATTAAGTTTTTTCAGTAATTTATTTTTTTCTCTCTTTCATTAATGAATCATTGATAACCATTTCACAGGAGCAATTAGTCATTCCAAAGGTTCACGTATAAAAGGTAATTGCTTATCTGCAATAACGGAAGCATTTGTCAAAATAATGGGGAAAAAGCAAACCACATATGTGAATCAGTAACACCTGTGTTGTGTGATGTTATTATTTATGACTGCTGAGGTGTATTTGTGTCCCTTTTGTCTCTTACTAATCAATGCAACTGAATTTTTGATTTAAATTCAGCGTTCTTTTAAATGGCAAGTGAGTCTTATTAGTTCCTTAGAAACCAGCTTTAACTATCTCCAAGAAAGCCTTGTATGGTACAGAGGGAAGTGAGGAGAAAACTACCTTGGAAATGCTTGTAGGGCACAGTTTCTTCAATGACATGCTTTAATTATTCAGCTGAAGACACACTTTTCAGATAGCTGCAGTTGTTGGCTCTCTGAACTGGGACTCTCCCAGCTCTGGCTTGGCAAAAAATAAGAGTAACTTGGTATGCACAGATAGGGAATGAGAATGAGGCAGAAGAACACTGCACTTTAAGCATGCCTTCATGATTTCATGCATCAGTGTCTTAATGGTGTCTAGTAAAAATTTGTATCTGGACCTTGCTGCATTTGTACATTTGTCTGCATTTTTCCCATGTCTGTTTATCTTAAATATGTGGAATGTCAGTGGCTGCCTTCCTGTAAGAATGTGAGGTTTTTGTGTAGTCTGTCAATCCTTCTTAATCTCCAGCTCTGCCAGCAGCTCAGAATTTGGGTCAGAAATGTGCAGACAATATTACAAACCTAACGATCAGAACTATTAGAAAGTCTCACTACTTGCATTCATTGAAGGAAAGGATGCAGTTGCATTTGTAATCAATAGATGAAACAATCTTAAAGGGCACTGTAAAATACTTCAGCAGTTAAAATGACAACTCTTCCTCATCAGGCAAGCTCAACAACCTCTCTCAAAGTCTGCATTACTTTAAAGAGCAATGGAGACATGAGATAAAAATAATTGTGAAGAGACATTTTTAAAGGACACATTGCCAAAGTTCCTGTGTTCAAGGAGGATGACTTTTCAGAAAAAAATGTTTTTGTGGAAAAATAACAAAAGAACCTTTGCATGAACCTTATTTTTCTTCAGAATCATTGAGCTATAAGGATCTGCTTCAATTCCATAGGATGAACTGCAATTTCAAAACTCCAGTAAAGTACCTCTATACTAGTAACTATGATTCTGTAAGAAGCAGCCTGTATTATTTCAGCTGAACTAAAAGTCCTATTGCTGTTACCAGAAGGCAAAGTTTCCCAAAGAGACAAAAAAAAATAATTAATGTTCAATAAAGTCAACCAGACAAGTACTTAAGAATACTGAATATCAGGACTTTTTTCTTTTTTTTGTAATTTAGTCAGTGTCAATTTCTTCTAAATTCCTGGATTTAACTACATTACTTTCCAGATTAGGCCTAATTGTTATTTTAAAATGTAAATATCATTTTTTCAAATTAGAGTTTTATAATACCCATAGAAGAACATATATTGAAAAGTCACTTGTACTAATGTTCATATATTTGAATCCATCACAGATAAAACAGGTATTTAAAGCTTTTATTTCAGTGTGATTAACTTGTAAAATTAACTGTAATCTTGTAGTACCTTGGTCACAGTGCAGTTAATTCTGAGGTGATAATAAAAATGCTTGTGCTGCTAACAAGTTATGCTTCTGTGACAATTTTTGTGTGAAATCAGTGGTTCTTCTGTACTTTATAGGGTATAACCATCAGCGTATCTGTGAAAACCAAAGGCAGAAGTCTCCAGAATTTTACAGCAGAACAGCATCAGAATCCAATGTGTACTTGAACAGTTTCCGTTACCCAGATCGTAGTTACAAGGACCATGCCTTTGACACGTTAAGCTTAGACAGCTCTGACAGTATGGAGACAAGCATCTCAGCATGCTCACCAGATAACATTTCCAGGTAAATCTTCTTTCCTCCTGATCCTGCAATTGTCATAGGGTCATATGAAAAAAGAGAGTATGTACATGTACACTGTGATAGTATGAATGCTGCTGATTGGTTGAGAAAATGTAAGGTCATTAGACAGGCATCATATTTGTCTAGTTCCTCATAATCGGGTTTAACTACATCTCACCTGTTTATTGAAAGATGAAAATAAAACTATGCAAAACTTAAGTGATAATGCTGAAGTTTACTGAAGAGCAATCAGTGCTTCCTCACCTGATCACTGCAGGGAAGGAATTTCCTCTGATAGGAAACTTTTCAGGGACATGTGCCATTGATGACCTACACTGTTCCACAAGTCCAGCATGTTAACCAACTAGATGCTTAAGCTGAAACACTCAGGCTTCCTCCAAAAGTCTTATTGCCCTTTCCTCTCCCTTTTCTGGGTCAGTAAAAATGAAGAGACGACACTGAAAGGCTTGCTTTACTCATCTTCAGAGGCTGTCAGCTCAGACACCATTTCTCAGACGAAATGAATTTCCATGATCTGTGTTAAAAATCCAGATGAGTCTCAAAAATGTGTGCAAACATTCTCTCCTGACAGTCCATTTTTTATATCTGACATTAGTAGTGCTTCCATTCCTGCTCACAGTCCAGCCCCAGGAGTTTCACAAGCATAACTAGAGGCTGATGATTAAGTACAGATTTGTCACTATGAATACTTTGTGAACACAAGGACAGCTTTTTTGGCTAGCATGTAGTGTTTTATTTCGCATCTTTTTGCTGTGGCAGGGAAGCCCCCTGATTTCCCCTTTAATGTCATTATCACTGCAGTGTTAAGTTTTAGAAAATACCACTGGCAGTCATTCTGCCGGCTGGTTTGCTTGGGCTTTTTTGCATTGGTTGACGTTGGTTTTGGTTTTCTTAAAGGAAAAACATTAGGACTTGGGTTTTGAGGATTTCTGTTTTAAATGGATAATCATATAGTCTCTGATAGCTGGAGACAGGCTGGGAACTAACTCTGTGCATTGAGCTAATGTGCCAGTGATATGAAACTTTTCTCTCTCTGACTTCCGGCTCTGACCATTTGGAAGGAGGGTGGTGTGTCTGATCTTACTATCCTGTAAGTCCAGGCTCCAGCCCAGGACTGGGAAACCCCAACAGCTGTTGAATTTCACTGGTACTGCTTGCTCTTCTGCTTCCCTCTGACTCTTGCAGGCAATGCCAGAAGGAAAACAAAAGAAAGCAACACAAAGAAAAGAATAGCCCAAATCAATACAAAAACCATAAAAGGATCCTTTACAACAGATCTTTCTGTTTCTCACAAGGCAAACTTTGGTAAAAGAAGAAAAGAGTGTGAGCTGATTTTGTTGATAAATTCTGGAAGATAGCCAGTTAATTTTCCTTGACAAAATTTCCTTTAAGTAAAATTAATTCATACTGTTTTAGGTGGTGTTTGAACATATTTTCGAGCCTTATCAGACTTTAAAGGAAAACAATTTATGATGCTTTGTTCTGACCAATTTAAAATGTATAAGTTATATTTTACCATGTTTAAGGCAAGAGAAACTTTTTTGTAGAAATGCATAAAATTTGTGGGTGCTCAAAGTACAGAAAAAACAGAACTGCTATAGTCATTTATCAACTCACCAAAGATACCTCTTTTTTTGTTAGTGGCTACTGCACTGAATTGGATCTGAACACTGTCAACTCCATTCTTAAATTATGTTGGACTGCAAAATATTTCTTTAAATACCAGCTATTATTTTAAATAAGAAATAATGGGGTCTTTTGCAGTGCTAGCACTTCAAATGTTGCAAGAATAGAGGAGATGGAGAGACTTCTCAAACAAGCACATGCTGAAAAGACTCGGCTGCTTGAGACCAGAGTAAGTGTAATTTTGAGTAACTAAGAGGAGGCATGTAAGTTTGGATAATATTCTCCTAATGCAACATAGAAACCCACCCCACTTACACCTAATAAACACTTAAAAAACACCTCTTCCTCCTCCATGGCTACACCTCACACTACAGCCTTGAGCCCATATGCAATATCTGCTGTCTCAAAGGACAAGCTGATGGCAAAATCCCCAGAAATTTGTTCAGCATTGGTTTGACACCTTCTGGGGGACTTGCTTAAGAAGAAGCTTCATTTCTATTTGCAATTCTTATTCCAAATTTCAGTCCAGTGTGCTGGATATATATTTCTGCCTAGTTTAGGGACAAAAAGGTATTTAGCCCTAGCTTAGAAATGACATTGCCCACTATAGTTTTGCATATAATAGAAGTTCTCTGTGTGCTGTGATATTTAGGAACGGGAGATGGAAGCTAAGAAACGAGCTCTGGAAGAAGAAAAACGCCGCAGGGAGCAACTGGAGAAAAGATTGGAGGAAGAAACAAGCCAGAGGCAAAAATTAATTGAAAAAGAAGTCAAAATACGTGAGAAACAAAGAGCACAGGTCAGATATGGGGATGTGAAATGGTTTTGAAGTGCAAGACTTCCCCTTCATATATGGAAAAGGACTTAGTGTATTTCTGCCAATGGTAAACAGCTGAACAGATAGATTTAGTATTTCTGAGGTGCAATTGTTTTGCTAAAAGTATATTTGGGCTCTTGGAGCCAAGTATTCATTTAAAGTTAGATAACAGCATAGGCATCTATTTAGCATTTTATATAAAAAGTATGAATATTAATCCTATAAAGTTTGTTACTGAATATAGGCAGAGCAGAATTTTTTGGCCAGAACAGAAATTTGTGAGTGTGTTAATTTTATAAACCATTGGTGTGGAGTTGGGGAGGGGGGGTTCTTTTGTTCTGCTTTTTCTTTTAATACATAAAATGCCTTGAAATGTGAATTATTACTTTCAAACATTTGACAGAAAAGACAAATAAGGAAGTTTTTTTCAGCTCCACACCTAAGTACAGAGTAAATATTATTTTTTCTGAAGTTAATGGGATTGTACAACATGAGAAACATTACTTAATTTAACAAGTGTTACCTCCTACATATTTTTGCTTCTTCTTTGTGCTTAGAGGTACCTTGAGTTTTCTTTAGGCTTAGTGTCTTAACTATTTGTTTAATTCTTCAAAACCAGTAGTATCTATAAGGTACAGCAAATGACTAGGCAGTCATTGCTTGTATACCAGAGCAAGACAATGTCTCCATCTTAATAGACATGTTTGAGTGCAGAAGATTCCATATCATATTGGAATATCTTTCTGGTTTTATCTGTGCTGCCTTTGCTGATGTTTCACCAGCTGTTTCTAGTTAAATATATTCATTCATTTGTTTTCATATAAAATGTAATCAGGAATGCTAAATTTTACTTGCTTCTCTCCTTTTTTTCTAAGAAATTTGTTGACAACTCAAGTATGGCATAAACAACAATGCAATGCTGATATCTTTAACCCAAACTAGAGCAGGCATGTGTTGTAATAGAATGTCCTATCAGTTACTGCTAATTGGCAGAGAGAAGAAGACTGAATTGGCAGGAAGACAAAAACTTATCTGTCAAAAATGACTGACTTTTTTTATTTTTTCTTTCTTTTGTACAGTGAGACCAATTTTTTCCCCAGCACCTTTTGACACTTAGAAATGTAAATGAAAAGAAGGTAATCTCTGCATTTGCCAGAGCTAGTGCCAGCTCGTATCATACAGAACATACATAATTTTAGAAGGGTGCTTAGAGTTCTTATGAGCAACACAGCTCCTATTGAACCAAGGGACTCTTAAGAATGCAATGAGGGAAAATCCCTTTGATTTGAGACTCACAGTGGGATTTAACAGACTAACATGAGGAATGGAGCAGGGGCAGATTAGTTTCTTCAGATCACCGATTTCTCTGGAGTCCAGGGGGAGAGAGAGAGGGAGATGGTCCTTTCACAGATCCTTGAAAGCATCTAAAATTAGCTTCTGTTCCAAAGTAGCCTCTGGCTCAGCTGCAGCAGGAGGCTCCTCTGGGAAACCTGTCTTCTGTGTTTAAAATGATGGGGTAATGATCGTGCATAGACCCATCAGGCACAGAAAACAGGAATATTCCCTCAGTTGGCAGAGCTTCTAAATCATTATCTCCTCTTGCTTGTTCTCCCAACTGACACTATCCGGGCTTGGTGCAGGGTCTTGAACTGCAATCAAGAAGGAGGCACTGTCTTCTGCACTGCTTTGCTGTCTTTTGCAGAGGGATGTGAACTAGTTATCACAGTTAATTTGTTCAGCAGAAAATAATTCTCTTTTGTTCACTGCAATCTCTGTGAAACTAACTGGCAATTACAGTTCATTTCTATTATTAATGTTTCTTGCAATAGCATGTTCTTATTTATATATTATACTATGCATTAAAAATGCCTGTAGCAGTAACTTAAAGAGTGACATCTGTGCAGCGAGTACTTAGAGAAATAAAGAGTTTGATTAACATCCTACATATGAAGTTCTTGGACTTCATCTAAGGCAGCGACACACCCTTACATTTAATTAATGTCTTAATTCTGTGACAGCTTTTCTGTGCTTTGGCCTCTGTTTTACCGGCTTTTCAGCTGTTGATTTCAAGAAACTTCTATACTATATCTGGCTTTTACAAAGTTGTCCAACACTGTAAAGTTAGAAGTTTAATGGATTTTTCCTTTCAAGAAAATTAGAGCTGCAGTAAAAGCTCTTTATTTTTCTTACATTTATTCTTAAACTTTAATAAGCAGTTTTCAGTTATGTCTTCCCAGCAGAAAGAGTAGGAGATGATAAGGCTTCTCTTAAAAATATGATTTTCTTTTCTTTCCTGTAGGCCCGTCCCTTGACTCGCTATTTGCCCATTAGAAAGGAAGACTTCGACCTACGAAGTCACATTGAAACAGCTGGGCACAACATAGAGACCTGTTACCACATTTCTCTCACTGAGAAAACCTGCCGAGGCTTTCTGATTAAAATGGGAGGGAAAATTAAAACATGGAAAAAACGGTGGTTTGTTTTTGACAGAAACAAGAGAACATTTACTTATTATGCAGGTAAGTTTCAGGATTGCTACTTGGGTACATCTGTTCTTCTATTTTTTTATCAAACTCAGCTGAGTTATGAACATGTAGGGAATCCAGATAAAACTTAGATTTCCATTTCATCCATTCCTTTAGAGGTCATGTGAACCCTTGCCTATAGCATTTAATTCTCATGCCAGGTAAGGCAGAATTGAGCATACAAAACAAAATAAAGGAGGAGATGCAGATGGGCAAGAGAAAAAATGGAAGATGGTCAAGTTACAAGTACACAGAATAATGGTTCCACGTATTTTATTTTTAAATAGTATATACTTCCCTCAATGACTGAATGATTTCTTGTACCCTTCATACAAGAATATAATTTATACTTACCGTGAAAATTGAAGTGAATGTTTTCACAGTCCTGTGCTTAATGTGAAGAAAAGGTTTTCAGGAAATTAAACATACAAGGGTAGACTTTTTGAGTTTGCCTTATTTTGAAAGTGTAAGGAATTTCAGATTAAGAATGCGCAATAGTCCAAAAGTGTTTCTGTTCATGAAGTTGTGTGACACAATATCTCAAGCCATTATAAGCATTGCATTACTTTCTTATCTTAGGGTAAACCTAGAAATGGGGAATTTAAGAACATACTTATTTCTCCAAATGCTGTGCAAATATACGCAGTGGTTTGACTTTGAAGTTTCAGTTCTGAGGAAGCTACAAAAATAGCATTGTAGTCTGAATATTTATTGTTCAGAGAGGCCAGAAATAGGCATATGCAGGACAGCTTATTGCTAAGATGCAGGAGAAAACACCAAGTACAAAACCCACCCAAACAGTTTCATTTACTTTATTGACATAACTCCTTTCCAGCAACTTCTAAGGAACATAAAATTGAATTCATTACATTCATTCATTACATACCCACTGAATATTTCTTACTAGTTTGCAGTAATACAGTGAGGAATGTGACAAACATTCTTTATTTTGTTCTAAACATCTGGTTTATTGGTTAGGAAGGCTTGTAACACACAGTAGTGTTCCCATTTGGTACTGATCTTTTTTTGTCTTTTTTTAGTAGTTAACATTTAATGGTTTCACTTTTGAGTTCATCATAGTTGCCATAATGTAATCTCAATTACCAAAGAAAACTTTTGCTAATGTCTCAAGGACTCCAGCCAACAAGCATAGTTTTATGAGGAGTCTCATCTGCACTAAAATGCTGCTTATGAGTGAGGATCTTTAGATCTTTAAATACATAGTAGATTTCCAAAATAAATATTGGTGCTGCAAATTCAGAGTAATTGAACTCTGAGTGAATGTCCTGAGATAATGCTTTAGTTCTGCCACTGCACTGAACCAAGAACTTAGCCTGAAGTCTGACAGCTTAGTGTGGTGACTGAAGCATCTGCACTTTCTGAACTGAAGCATTCGGGGAACTCTACCAAGACACTTTCAATGGGAGCTTGTGGGTACCTGAAATAGTCTGGTAACCAAGGCCCCAGGTGGGGCTTGAAAAGAGAGTGGGTCCCCTGCTTACTAGTGGTATACAGACAGCACACTTTGTATAGTGCTGTGTTTATCTCAGTATAATGTGTGCTGTGATCTCATAATCCTGTATCTCAGTGCTTCAGCACTGCTTCTCTGTGGGCTGGCAGGAAGATTCCCAAAGCTGCATCATTTGCTCTCTGGGATTTTATTTTGCCATCATATGAAGCTTTAAGAATTGCTTGCAGCTACACATAGGATGTAAGCTGAGTTCCCCAAGTGTTTGAATGACAGCAGAATCCCTCCTGGGACTGATGAAGATGTTCTGCATGACTGTTCAGTGTTGAGATGATGCTATGACTTGGGGGCAGAAAACATTATATTCCCCTAATACAAAAGTGCTGGGAGCAAAAGGAAGTTGGCCTTTCAGTGTCCACATGCAATTGGGATGCTTCTTAACAATTTCTCTCTCCACTGCAGGAAAATGGAGTGAAAATGGCAGGAAGATGCTGCCCTGCCCTGCTCCTTTTCCTTGTGAAAAATTTTAGTGGTGACTCTTAAATTCACATGCAAAGAAGCATTTTTTTTTTTAAGTACATACACAAACTATGTTCTAATATAAAGATTTTGCTGTCAGATTGTATTGAAAATTCGATTATCATTGCAGTTTTCTCTTCAAGGCAAAGTGGAGGTCTTAGCCTGTGAACTGTGTGAACTCTGGCTGGTTTTCATGGAATTGGAAGAGTGGATATATCTGAGAGACATCTGTCCTTCTGTGGGCTAATACCCTCCATAACATTTAGCCAACTCAGTGAAGGGAGTGACTTGCAAATAGATGAGGAAATTACAAAAGCTTTTATCCTTGGAAACTAGGTGAAGAAGAAGACATATTAAAGTCAAAAATGCATCTTTCAATAAAACCAATAAACTAGTAAGAAAATTTGAAGGTATCCATGGGATTTCAGAAGCAGAACTGTTAATTCAGTTACTTTTCAGCTGAATATATATGGAAATGCAAATTAAGCTTTTGCTTCTTAGTGGTCATTTCAGTTCTGAGGTAATTGCTCTCTTTTCTGTTTTAGACAAACACGAAACTAAATTAAAAGGTGTAATATATTTTCAAGCTATTGAAGAAGTCTATTATGATCATCTAAAGAATGCATATAAGGTAAACTTTGTTATTGTTGTTTTAACCATTTATCACACAGAGTACCCAAAGTCTGTAGCAGCTGTAAAATTAAAGGGAGAACTAACATTATTGGAGGGGAAAAAACCTTAACAAATACTTAAAAAGAAACCCTGGAGTGGAGGAAAAGGAAGAGGAAGCTTATCAGTGATTGGCACTGTTTTGGTGGCTTTTTTTATCCTGATGGAAGCAGAGATAAGTGTCTACCTGCAAAGTAGTTTTGCTGCAAGGAGTTCCCTAGTCCAGTGGCAAGACCACTGAAATCGGTGGTTTGGACAAGTCAAGGGCTGGCTGCACACCTCAGTCCCAGGGAGGGAGTTAACTGTGCCAGCAGTTCATGGCACACCCTGCCTCTCATTTTTAATTTAAATGAGCTATGAACAATTTGTGGAAGCCACTGGACAGAGTGGAGGAGTTACTTATTTGGGCATGAAACAACAGCTTGGAGCCCTGTAGTACTGTATAATAGTCTACTGGAAAAATGCTGTAAAAGGTGTTTATGGTAGCTACAAACACTTTAAATGCATCTCTGCTGCAATATAAGATTCAGTGGTACAGCATTTTATCTTTCTTCTTAACCCTATTCATAAATATCCCTGTAAGCAAATCCACTTCTGATACCAATAAATGGCTTTGATTTCACTCTTCTGATATCTTCTTTGCATTTTATTCGAGAGTCCCAACCCGCTGCTGACTTTCAGTGTTAAGACCCATGACCGCATCTACTACATGGTTGCTCCTTCTCCAGAAGCCATGAGGATATGGATGGATGTCATTGTTACAGGCGCAGAAGGCTACACCCACTTCATGTTATAATAAAAGGGAGCAATAGGGCATCCTGCAATAACATAAATAATGAAGTTAGCCATAGCTAGTGACAGCTGAAAAGTCAGTGAATACCCTGAAATGTCCTCCTTATGATGTGCACCCTAAAAACTCAGATTGAGAGGGGGTTACAAATGCATGGAAAAGGGGGGGGTTGTTATCTGTTGTAATGATCTTTATAGGAATGAACGAGCTAAAGCTGTTGAGAGAATCATAGTGCTCCAAAATGGATAATCAGGCAATTTTAATTACAGAATCTTGGTTGAATGATAAGTTTCTACAAATTCTCGTATACAGAGAATGTCTTCATAAATTTATACAGGACAGTTTACAAGTGTGTGTGTTCCTACTGGTATGCAAAAATTCTAGTAGTGAAACAAAAAGGTGTAATAAGCATATATTTTAATATACAACATTTACATTTATAGATGATTAGGTGAGTTTTTAAAACCTTTAGTCGAGTATTTTATAGAAATACAAACAAAAAAGAAGCCCTAAGGTACACACAGTTCTTGCCTTAGTAGTTAAATGTTACAACAGAGCCAAAGAGTTACATGAGTCCCTTACATTTTCATATTGTTACTTGTACCTAACTTTCTGTGAAGGGACAGTGCCAAAACTCTTAATGACTTTTAATGTAATTAAATTATTATATTCTTTGTGTTCAAACACTTTGTGGCAACAACTCTATGTTTAAAGTTCACATCTATGGAGCTCAACAAGTAAAAAACAAAAAAACCCTGAGAGGGATAGCTTTACAAAGATGCATTCTTTTCCACAAGGATGAGAAATGGAAACACATCTATTAACTTCCTCATAAAGAGAGATTTTTAAAATCCTCCCTGTTGAACAGAATAAGCTGATTCTGGACTCTACAGCACTTTTCTTTTATATATAAGGTCCCAGTATCCTTCTAATGTTACTCAGTGCCAAGTGAACGCTCTGTTGAAATCTCTCAAATATTGTCTGCCTTGAAGCTAGCACCAAAATCTCTACCTGTCTGAATTCTTTGGAGCCAAGCTTTCAGTCCCAGAGAATTGTTTTGTTGTTTAATGTACATCTGCACAGAAAAATGCTGTCAAATAGAATAAAAGAGGAGAGGTGAGTTCCAAGAGTTTACACTAAGCAGTGTATGAATAAAAAACTGAAAGTTTGAAGTAGTAGGGATTGAGATTCCTAAAACAGCAAAAATACTGAGGGTGCAGCGGTCTCCCATTTTAAAATCACCTCCAAGTCCTTGAGTAATATTGCAAAAAGATAAAGTATTTAATTGAAATTAACTTCAAGAAAGTGTCATATTATGACTTTAAAGAGGTTCTCTTTGATTATAATTGAAACTTACACACTCTGTGGTTTGTGGTACTAGAAGAAAGCACATTCACCTTTTTTTCTTTGATGAAAAAGTTAATGGCTTTTAATTGAACAAATAAACTGAAACCAGAATAGAAATATGCTGGCAGAATATTTTTGTTATACTTTTTAAACCCTGTAGCTGTAATGAACAGGTTTGTGGTATGTACAGGTGATGTGGTTGTTCTGGCATGACAAACATCAGTTTCTACTTGAATCATAGACTGTTGTTGCAAGATAATTGTTTTCATCTGTGCAGATCACAGCTTGTAATCTATAATTTAAAACACTATCAAATAAATTGCTTTTGTTTATACAGTTATTATTTTTTCCTGATGTTTTTTGATTTTATTCCCAAGTATAGTTAGAAAGGTTTTCTAATACTGATTTTTGTATCCTGCATGATGCAATGAAGGCTTTTCAATAAACATTTTTTAAAATACACTTGTTTCAAATATTTTATTTCTGCATTATCCTGAGACATTTATTCTTGTCTTTTAAATAGTTGTATACAGTCATGCAAACAACACTGTATTTCTCAGTAACACTTAATTGAACTATTCCATGTATTTTCCAGAAAAGAGCTATGGAACATAATCTTTCGGAGGTCAGTGAAATTAGGAGTCTGTTTTCTGCATATACATAATATAATACCTTTTTCATTTTTTATGAACCTGTTTGAAAAATTTATTACCAGCTCTGGATATTGACAATTTTTTTTGTTTAACTGCAAACCAGAAACTGCTTGACTTTAAGGATTTCAGTTTTTCCAATATTTGACTTAGACATGATCTGAATGGGATTAACTCACGTGGAAACGAAAATAAGTGTGGTTTTATGATTGACTTGTCTTCACTAAGTTTGCCATCATCATCATGATGTGGGGTGGGTTCTTAGGGGTGTATATCAAGACAACGTAAATAGAGCATGGTGGTAGGCACCCCCTTTATGATCAGTCTGCACTGATCATAGAAGTCCTTCAAGCTTATCCGCCTGGGAGTCAAATACCTGTTTACCTTGAAGGTTCTCGGGCAATTGCAAACCATGGAGTCTGAGTCTTAAAAACCTCCTCAGCTGTGTCCCATGACCTACAGGTGCTGGCCTGGTACTTGAATGAGAAAACACCCTTCCCTTGGCAGGCACTGGCCTTTCCTAGCATTAATTTTCATGTGCCAAGGGAGGTTGGACATCAGGAGGGGTTGTCAAGAATAGGAATGGGCTACCCACGGAGGTTGTGGAGGGACATCCCTGAAGGCATTCAAGAAATGACTTGTGTGTCCACAGGTCTAGTTGATGTGGTGGTATTTGTCAACAGTTGGACTCAATGATATTTGAGATCGTTTCCAATCTAAATAAATGATTTGGAGATTCTATGATTATTTTCTTTGTGGCTGCCATGGCCTGTATATGAAAGATGTATGTGCATAAAGATGTCGTTTTGGTTCCTGTGCTCATATATCTAAAGCTGAGAGAAAATGAGGAGATGTGAACCCATTAATGAGGTCCCTTCTCAGCCGTCTCTTCTCGAGGCCATACAGGCCCAAGCCTTTCCCTCGGCCTCTCCTCCTAAGAGAGGTGCTTCAATCGCCCTCACAGCCTGCCACTCAACCCACTCCAGGATCTCCGTGTCCCTCCTGTACTGTGGAGCCAAGACCTGGACACAAGACTGCAGAGCTGCCTCACCAGGGCTGAGCACAGGGGCTGGATCACCTCCCTCGACCTGCTGGCAGTGCTCTTCCCAATGCACACCTTTGGCCTTCTTGGCTACAAGGCACAGCTAGCTCGGGAAAAACACGCACGCTGTGAAATGCACGATCAATGTTGTGGCTCTTTTTATTGATAAAACTTTGCACTTTCCCAGGGAGGTTCCGCCCTGACCGCAGACCCGCTCCCGCCCCGCCCCTGCCGTCGCTTCACTCCCGCGGGCGGCGGGCGGCGCGTGCGCGCGCTGCGGCCATGGCGGGAGTGCTGGTGCGGGCCGGCCGTGCCTCGGCCCTGCGGGGATCGCTGTCACCGCTGAGGGCGGCTCGGGCATTCCTGGGTAAGGGAATGGCCGCGGGGAGCTCGGAGCAGAAGGGTTGCCAGTCGGAGGGGAGAGGATCTGTTTCGGTGCCGACTGTGACGGCCACCGTGCGGCTCTTGGGCAGCTGCGGGTGGCACCCTTTCCTCCCCTTCAGGGCCGTCGCCATCGGGAAGGGCCGTGGCGCGGCTCTCTGGTGGGAATGAGCATCTTAAACTCGATCCCCTTCGCACGGAGTTCCTGACAGGCTTCTCCCCACCTGGCCCGCGGGGGAGCTCGGTAACTGTGCAGAGGGCAGGGCAAGTGCTTTCTTACGTGTGTTTGGTTGGCTCTAAGCTCTTGCCCCGGTGGGTTTTGAGGAGCTGGGAATCGTGCGCCAGCGCTTGATCGGTTGTGAAACGTGCCTGCCTGTAAAGCTCCGTCAGGCACCTGAAAAGCTTTGCTGGCGTCCACTTCTGAGTGAGCTCGGCCTCTGCCCAAACACGTAGTGTCCCTTCCTTATGTGTCCTTGTCTGAGCTGTTGAGTTTATTCATTGCCTTTAATTGGACAGGTGGATCTCATCTAAGGTTGCTCAATGAGTAAAACTTTATTGCTACTACGGGTGCACATTTTCTAGCTTCATAAAAGCTTGAATACAGTGGGATTTTGTTTCTGTGTTCTTCTCCCTTTCTGCGTGTTTATAACAGTAATATTTTCAGAGCATCTGTTTATTTGAGTGTATCTTTAGGTGCTCTGGGACCAGGCCAAGCAGCAGTTCCTGCTGGAATGTGGATGGTTGCATGACACCGAGTGTGGATGGAGTTGAGTCCATTTACCTGTCACATTAACATCCTAATCTACTGCTGCTGGGAGTGGGGAGATCTTTGTGCAGGAATATTCGCAGAGTTCAGGGAGTTCACTTCTTTGGCTTTGATGCGTAATGTAACACTGGTCTCAGTCACAGTTTCTGATGTTCATAAAAGTTCACAGTGACTCCAGTATTAAGAGAATTCCATAGATACCATCAGGCAAGGGTCCTGTGGTCTTACTACAGCTATCACCTTCTGTCTGTAACTTGCTTTTATAAACACTAATACCTGCCTTGCACCCTTCAGAAATGTTTCCCTGCTCTTAATAAGGTCTTTCCTAAAATCAGGAGGAGAAATTACTGGGTAGTTGCTGATGGTTTTGTTTGTCTGAAGAGAAATCTGAGAGGGTGACAGCATTGAGTTTTGCTTTTGGGTTGGCTGTGGTGGTTGCTTTTGGGGTTTGCATTTATTCAGGTTGGAATTGCTGCTGGTGCTTCCATTAACTTGTTAAATGGAAGAATAGTTTGTGAAATCGCTTAGATAGTGTTTGTGTCTTGCAGCTGCAGTTGGAACCCTGCCCAATATCAAAGTAATTTGAGGACACCTCCAGGGTGCTGTAGCATGGAAGACAGTGGTTTCAGAGATGGCTGTCAGGGCTTAAGGGGGAGAAAAATATTCCCAGTTATTTTTCTATTAAATTTAGCACTTCTTGGTTCATCTCTTATTGGCACTTGCACTCTACTGGCCCTGAAGAAGTGACTGGCTCCGTGAGAGACACACACAAATCAAAAGCCACAGTGTGGATGCATCTGAATACCTTTACTGTGGAGGTCATTCACCTTTATAAACAACTCATTCCTCAGTAGGATGAAGAACTACCTCATTGTTTGAGGAGCAATTTAATGGTTTAAATCTGTAGTTCAAATGATGCCATTTCTGTTGGACTGTAAGAAAGTTCTGAATGCTAGCTGCACCCTGTATCTGTTATGTATCCACACTTACTCATGCACATCCAAGTTTAACAACAAGCTAACCCCCCAAAACCCCTTGAATGTAATCTCTCTGATAGTGACAGAACTCAAGGCTGCAAGACAGCTAAGTGGTGTGATACTGTCAGGGCTTGGGTTTTGTACTATTTATCCACACCTGACACTTTATTTTGGGTTGCATCATTTCTGTGCCCTCCTGTTGAAGAGCCCGTGAGGTTCTAATCTAAGAATTAAGAATGTCAAAGTCTTAGAATACTTGACCAAGCTTTCAGTTTAACAAATTGCCTTGCTGCGTTGGATAATAGAGTGGATTAAGTCTCCTTAATAGCTTTCCAGGAATTACTTTTCCTCACCTGCAGGAGAGGTACAATTGACTGCTAAAGTTAGATTAAATCCTGTAGCAGCTGTTGAGATTCAGCAGAATTATTAATTAGTTTGCATTTCCTCTGTTAATATCCTTGTTTGATGTTATTTATTTCATTTGGTTTAAGCAATGCTAATGTTGTTTTATGCTCGTCATGATGAAAAAGTTAGGCACAAGATTCTTTCCCATTTCTTGATTATGAACTTGCTCCTATACCCCACATATTGTGTGGATCCAGGGCTTTGGTAAAGGTGAAATTTTATCCTTCAGTTTTAATTCTAATGAAAAATTTGTCACCTCCTGTACTCTTAAACTTCCATTGCACAGAGTACAGTAATCTCAAAATTACGCTTTTTGAAAATAAAAGTTTAAACTAAGCAGATCTTAAATGGGAAGATTTTTTGGTGAAACGAGTAAATGTCTTCAAGATAAAACATGAGGACTGATGAAGTCTAGGAAGCCTGAGAGTTTGTTTTCAGTCAACCACTTAGCTAATTGCTGAGTGAATTCTCTACATGGTTGGCATTTAATGATTTGAGAATGAATCGCAATAAACTTTGTCTTTCAGGTTCATCAATACTTGTCAGTCATTTAAGAACGTAGGAGATGCTTTTTTCATCTCTCTTGAGCCAAAATACATTATTTTCACATAATGTGTCCATATTTTCCAAACCCTGGTTTCATAAAAACTTGTTTTTCTGCCTAGGTTATCATGATGATTGCATTAAATAGCTCCTCTTACTAGTTTGCAGGCTGAAGTCATCGGTCAGCTTTCTCACTCGACCGGATCGACCAAATATTGCTTATCAGAAACTAAAAGGAAGAAATCCAGGGGTTATTTTCCTTCCAGGCTTCAATTCAAATATGAACGGTCAGAAAGCAACTGCCCTTGAAGATTTCTGCAAATCGTTAGGTCATGCCTTCATCAGGTACATAGAGGAATATCTATGAAAATTAAACTAGTCTCATGAGTTGTGGGGAGGCTTATAGCATAAATACATAAACTTTGGCATTTGGACTGGTGTGCTCCCTGTGCTAAGGGAGCTCCTATACAAGACAAGAATTCTTTCTCCTGTTTCCAAATGTAGGATTTCTGTCAGTACAGAGACTGAAGTAAATCAGGAGAATGTATTCTGAAAGTAACTCAGAAAATTCTCTAATTTTCTGTAGTGTAACCAGTGCTACCTGTTACAATCAGGCTGTAGGCCTAAAAGTTTAAAATTAAGGACCTGGAGTTCTGGTTTTTTAAGTTACCACTATAAGCACTGTCCTTTTGTGCCAAGTCCGACTAAGCTACCCTGTGTCTTCTGTGGGTTTAGAAGAACATGCCCCTGCTTGGTGATGCTGTCCTTTGATAGATGAGGTTGAATGCTGTCTGTCTGAATGTGTCATAAGTCTTCGTGTTTGGGTTCAGTGTTTGAAAGAGTTTGTACACTTTAAAAGTACCTTTAAAATTCAAGTGTCTGAGGGGTTTTTTTGTCTGTAAGGGAAATTTTTTGCCTATTCTTGTAAATTATGATGCTCTATCAAATGATAGAGAATGCTGCATTGCATAACTTAATTGTGTTTGTTGTATTTAGACTGGCTTTGTGTGATTTCTGGTCCTAGTGATAAACAGGACCAAGTAAGAAAATACTCACTGTGGTATCTTGTTCCCTGCTGATTTGATTATACAGTAGTATTTATTTAGTGTCTGTATTGCTAGACACAGTCATAGACAGTACTATGACTTTCCTGTTGATGGTTATTTTTTCAGATTTGACTATACAGGATGTGGAAGTTCAGATGGTAAATTTGAAGAGTGTACAATTGGGAAGTGGAGAAAAGATGTTCTGTCTATACTGGATGAACTTACAGATGGACCACAGGTTATATTTTATTTTTAAATATAGAATGCTGTTTTTCCCTCAGGGTAGAATCTTCATCAAAAATATGCCATAATAGCTCTGGTCAGCAGTAGCTTTTGCTGAACAGCTGACACCTGCTCACTTCCAAGCTGAATCATTTGAGCAGTCACATTCATAGGAGCTCTTTTGCAGGCAGGTAGGTCATGAAATCATGGAAGCATGCATTGGCAGGACCTCCTGGAGGCTGTTTATTAGAATCTCCTGCTCAGAGTGGGTCTGTTGTCCCAGAGAGTCTGAGAAAGCCTCATGGTGGAGGTGCCACCTGACAGGAGACAAGGAATTGTTTCTGTGCAGTGTGGCCCTGTTAATGAAAAAGTGTGTTACTGTCCCCTGCTGATGCATTCATTAAAGGATTTGCAGGAAGATTACAAGATGCTCCATATGATCAAATAGCTTTAAAAAACAGGCAGGAGAAGCAGCATTTGATTTCTTCAGTTACTTTAGAAATTGCTGTGAGAAACTTGGAATCTCCTACAACCTAGAAATACCTAATATTGTGTTTAAAACAATTTTGTATTATGAATTGCTTTTGTTTACTTCTTTCACTGCACTGAGTCTTTACCGTGGTGCATTTATCTTGAGAAGGAAACATAAAAGTATGCATATGATACTGAATTGTTTCAACTCTCATTTTGTTTACAGTGTTTCAGTCTCAGACAGCAATAACCAGCCATGACAAACAGAATAATAAATACCAGATCTTGTGGTGCTTACTCAGGCAAAATTTCCATTGGAGGTGACAGCAGTTCTGCCTGGGTAAGGACAGCAGGATTATGCCCAAGGTTTATATAGTTAAACCAAGTGAAAACGGGTATTTTGTGCAAGAAGAAAAAAATCTATTAGCCATTTCCTGTAAAACACTATATTTTCTTCTCTTTTTTTACTTTTGTTTTCCAGATTCTGGTGGGCTCCAGCATGGGTGGATGGCTGATGCTTCATGCTGCAATAGCACGTCCAGATAAAGTAGCTGCTCTGGTTGGAGTTGCTGTAGCAGCAGATCATGTTGTAACAACTTTTAAGAGGCTTCCCATTGAGGTAAATGTTGATGGTTGACTTTTGTGCAGTCTAAAAATCTTACCAAGAATTTAAGAAATGATGTTATTTAAACTGCACTTTTCCTGCAAATTTTAGGGTAAGTTTTCTGTGTTTGATCAATGTAAGCTTGCAGTATGAGACTAGTGTGAGCACTAACCAGAGTATACTTATATTACTGTGGTTTAGAGGATGTGAAGTCAGATCCCTACTGTTTGCAGTTCATTAGATTTCAGTTTTGAATATCTTATATTTGCATTGGAATTGGATCCTTGTGCTTGGAAGGATGGAGAAGTAGCCATTAAAGTTGAGGTAGTTGAGGTTTCACTGGATGAGATGCATATGACACAGAGTGTGCATAGAAAGGTAATTCTTCAGATTAGTGTGTTTGTAAAGACTGTGAGATTTAGATAGTAGGAACTGCCCTTTTGAGATTCTTCCTTGATGGTAATAATATCTAGTCTTCAGGAAGTGTGTGCCTTAGAATAAAGAAAATATTTTCCCAATTTATTTGGGTTTTTTCTAAGGTACTTTGTAGTGTCAGTATTACTACTTAGGATTCAGAATCTGAAAATACATAAGAATCTGGAAATGGAGTATTTAGAGACACCTACTGTGGCAAAGACTGAAAAGACTGGTCACTGGACAATGTCTTTTCCCTAGGATTTCCCCTTGTTTGTGGATCAGTGAACTGATTGAAGCCAAGGAGATTTACTGTTCATGGTGGCAACACATATTTTTCTTTTCTGATAGAGCCTGGCTAAGAAACTTAATTTCATTGGTGAATTTTAACTAGATTAATTTGGGACAAGTTTGGAGAGGAGATTTTGTGACATGGTAGGGGATTTGTCCTCTCAGATGCTGTGAGGAGAACAGGAATACACCCATGATAATAAAAATCAACAAGGTGAAATTTTATGCTTGGGGGAGTCTTACTGCTTTTAGAACAGAAATAAGATGAGGTACTCTTAAGCACTCCTAACATGTGTTTTGTCCATTCTTTGCTCTCTTTTTATATAGGCACAAAAAGAAATAGAAGAAAAGGGTGAATGGAAGTATCAAACAAAGCAAAATGAAGAAGGCTATTACTCCTTGACCTATGACTTTATCAGAGAAGCAGAAAATCACTGTGTGCTGAATAGTCCTATTCCTGTGACATGTCCCATACGCCTTATTCACGGCATGAAGGATGGGGATGTCCCTTGGGAGATCTCTATGCAAGTTGCTGACCGTGTTTTGAGCAAGGACGTGGATGTTATCCTCCGCAAAATCGGCCAGCATCGGATGAGTGACAAGGAGGATACAAAGCTCCTTGTGAATACTGTTGATGATCTAATTGACAAGCTGTCAACAGTAGCATAAGCAGAAGAGTAGCATTAGTGCATGAACTCTACACCTGACTCTTTTCCTTGAATAACAGAAGCCTTGTTCTTACCCAGATGGTGGCAAGCTTGTGACTGTCACAGTAGGAACTGAGCTTTATCTGCTGTTTCCTTACCTCTGTTTCATAAATACAGGAATTGTATTATTGCTGCATTTGCACACAGCCCAAAGTGTGAAGGGGTGCTGCTATTGTGTTCAGAACCTCTCCTTCACCATTTTACCCATTTTTTTTCACAAATTTCCTATAATTTTGTACTGACATGTTGATTACTTTTTGTTGCTATTGGCCTGTACAGTAAAACTTTATTTTCACATCTTTGACACCTCTTACTGTCTTTCCACTGTAACATCATTGTATCATATGTCTAAACCATCTGTGCAAGGCAAACTACAACTTGAGTGTTTACTGAAGTTAGTTATTAGAATAGTTAGTACCGTGAAACACAATAAACAGATTTCAGATAAATGGTTATTTTGTTCTGAAATGCTGTTAAAAAGTGGAAAGCACACCCTGATGGTGTACTTGTAGTACTGCATAGGGAAGAATTTGACTTCGAAGAAAGCAGGGCCTCAAAGCCTTAAGAGCTCTTTATCTGTGCTTGTCAGGAGGGTGTCTGTGATCTTCTCCAGGCTGCCATTTGTCGTTCATTTGTGGGCCTACTGTTAAGGAAACAATAAATAATCTTGATGTAAACTGAAACTGGATCAATAAGATGACTTTAATAGTAACTTCTTCTAAGTAGGGAGTACAGTGCCACAGAGCACCGTTGCCTCTTTCCCACGACTTGAGAGAGGATTGCTGGGCACAGTGTCTTCTTCAGCTGCATGAGTCCAACCCTGAGAAGCTGTAAATGGAACTTGATAGTTGAATAAGTCTTAAAATGTAAATCCGTGGAATTTATTAGGAAATTGATTTAATTGCAAATATGACTGTTACCTGGGTTTTGTACAGAAATACAGTACCATTCGTACACTTGAGAGAGAGGCTGGAAATAGTTCAGGCTGGCCTTAATGTGTAACATCAGTCAAAAGCATATAATTCTTTCTGGGTTTATTATTTGAACTAGTAAATGGCATCACTATTATTACCTTAAAAGACTAGAGCTGCTGGGGGTAAGGTATTTCTAGAGAGTTTGTCATTTTCAGTTTTAGCTATGTCAGTAGAAGTGTGCTGAACAGGGCTTTGCTGAGGCAATGGGTTTTAATTTAAAAAAAGCACCACAAACAAATAACTAAAGTTAAAAAGAAACCAAAAACACAGCAACAACAAAACCAAAATTTTGGATGAGTTCCTGTGAACTACAGTTCTGTTTAGGCTTGCAAAAACAAACTGTGATGGAAAAAATCTGAATTTGGTATAAGAGTAAAAAAAGATGGCTCTTGTTTAGATACAAATTTTCTACTTCAAATGTACCAATTCCCTAACTTAGTGAATGATTTGGTTTGGAAGGGACCTTAAACATCATCTGGTTCCAACCACCATCCCATGGGCAGGGATATATTCCACTAGACCAGGTTGTTCAGAGCCCCATCTAACCTGGCCTTGAACACTTCCAGAGACTGGGCATCCATAACTCCTACGAGCAACTTGTTCCAATGCCTCACAGTAAAGAATTTTTCCCTAATTATCTGATCTAAACCTAGTCTCTAAGTTTGAACCCATTCTTCCCCTTGTTCTGTCACAACATGCTCTTATAAATAGTCTCTATCCAGCTCAGGATGATCTAGATTGGGATAATTGCTTGAGGAAATTAGAACATTTCATGAAATCTTGTTCCCACATATTTCTGGCATAGACTGTTCCTCTGTTTGTATCACTATGCAATTCACTTTAGCTTTGAAACCTCTGAAATATATTTGTAACTTTTGAGAAAGTTAATGCAAATGGCATTCCTGGAGTTGGAGCTGTGTTCATGTTTATATACTGTTAAGCAGTTGTCATCTTTGTATGTGTTCGTATGACTTGCATCTGATAATACCTAAAAAACAGATTTTGCGGGTTTTAAAGATGCAGTCAAATCAAAATTATTTTTAAACTTTGTGCCCTAAGCCATGATACGTTTTTAAATCCAGTTTTTTCGCATCTTGGATTAGTTTGGCTCATAATGGAAGAAGAGGCTGAAACAAGTGGACTGCAATAATTCCAAAGTAATTAATTTTAATTAATGCCAAGAGTTACCAGTTGTAATAGATATGCTTTTTCTTCACATATATTAAAGTTAATTCAGTGACTGAAAAGTTTTGAGCTTTTTTTTTAATAGGGAATTATACCTGTAAATACTCAATTTAATACTTCAGACAAGGTAAAGGCTTTGTGTGCCTGCACAAACTGTAGCTGTGTATTTGTCTTGAAAGAGTTGCATTGTATTCATGTTTCATGTTAGCCTTTATTATGTAATTGATATTTTACAGGTAAGATATCTGTGGCAATGCCTTAGAGCAAGATAGGTGAAAGCAAATGTGAAGTGGAGCAGTTGTATAAAGAGTTTTCAGGAGGGCTTTTTTCCTTGTTTGCTGTTGGTGTTTTGTATTGTTGCCCCCTCCATTATTTTCCTGTAATAACATGAGGTGGGAGAATTCAGTGTAACAGTGGTTGCTGAAACCACAGCATTACTGAAAAGTCCCGTTTTCCTTCTCTGCTGGCTAAATGGAGATCAGTGGTAGCATCTACAGTACAGGTACACCCAAAGTTTGTTACATATAGTCTAAATGCAAAGGCAGAGATTGTACTTTTTTCATAAAGACAATATTCCAGGTAGTGTTTTGAAATTCAGGGAATGCTAGTGTCCTTCTCTCTGTGCTCACTTTTTGTTTTTGTAAATTAGGCTTGCTTAAATATGAAGAGGTAGACCTTATGCAGACAGACCTTTTTCTCTCACTTTGGTGTAGTAATTCCTTTGATATTTATCTTTGCAAACATAAGCATTTTCCCTGTGTTCATGCTGGGAATTACCATAGTTTTGACTGTTAGTAACTTTGCATGTTCAGGTGCCTGAAAGAAGGAACAAAGGTGCCTGAAAGAAGTGACAATGATAACTAGGGAGATTTACATCCTACCTCTGAGCAGCTGTTCACCTACCAGAAGTTTTGACAATCTCAAATAATGTGGCATTCACATATTACTGTGTGTTCCTACTGGTATGTCTTCTGCATTAATGCCTGGGGCATGGCTTTTTTCTTTGTTAGATGCCTACATAGTAATTATTTTCAGTATTAATCATGCTTTAAAAACTAGTATTTCATTCCTCTGTAGAGATACTGTATTAAAATAGGATGTTACACGCTTGGAAAGCTCTGCATGATGCAGATTTTAAAAATAATTTGTAATTAATTATGCTCTGTTTTGGGATTTTTCTTTAACAGACTGCTGATTTGTTGACAAATGCAAAGCATTTTGTGAACATACAATGTACAATAAGCTTTATTCACATGAAATATTCTGTTTCTAAACCTAACTCAACTTGTTTCCTAAAAAACAAGTGCTCTTATTTTGCTTATATTGAGCTGTACTTCCACGGTTTTAGATACATGTATTTTTTATCTTGTTAAATATTCTACTTGTTTTGTCTCTCCTCTTGTTTGGTTTTGTATTACACACCATCTGATTTGAGCTTTTTGGTTTTGAGGGGTTTTTTAACTTAATTGGTGTTAAGTGTTTCATGTAGTTTCAGTTTAGCTAAGCTGTTTTCTCTTGCTTCAACACTAAATTTAAAAAAGTGTTCACAACAAAAGCCTGGCTGGATAGGCCTTAGAAGAACCACCTCCTGCTGTTTTATGTTAATTTTGGTTATGTGCTCTCTTGGACATGCTGTTACTCAATGGGGCTAAAAGATTTATGGTACCATACTTTTCATACCAAATTAAAATGTGCTTAGAGAGGAACATTCAACTGGTAACTTGTCTGCAGCTGCTCAACTATCTTCAGTGTTCCAGTCATGATGCAATACAGAGTTGTAACATTTTCTGAGCTGGTGCTGTGGTCAGAGTTTCTACATTAGGTTTTTGCTTGTAATTTCTTCTCTGGCAGGAAAAAAACCCAAACAAATGGGAGGGAAAATCATGTCCTGGGGAATAATGAGATTTGAACTTGTTTTCTAAGCTACTCAGTTGTGCTGTTACAAAGAGACCTACCTTACCCTTTCACATTTTTTTTGGTTTTCTTAAACGCTGAACAGTTACATTATAATTAAGGCTTCTGAGGAGATAGAAGAGGGCTCTGTGTTTGACCTGTCTTTGAGATGAGCAACCTCTCTGCTTTGTGTTGATGACCAAATTCATTAAGATGTGTACGAATGTAAAATTTCACCAATGCTTGGTGGAAATTTATCAGCTGTGTAAGGAATGCAGACAGAAATACCAAATATCAGTGTGCACTCTCACCCTTCTAAGTTTGTTCTCAAGCCCAGCAGGGAACTCAGCCATTACATTAAATAGCAGCCAGCTTGCTGAGCATGAGGTTTTAATGCCCCTGTCAATGGCACTTTGCTTCTGGCAGGCATTTTCTAAGGGAAGATTTTACTGTTGGGAAAGAGAGACAGAAATTAAGAGAGTTCAGAAATGCACTGCTCATAGATTTACTGCATGTTGGCCAGTTTTTATAGCTCACATTTGCTTTGTGACCTCATCTCTCTTCAGTATATATTTGCCTAAAACAGAAAAACGTTACAGCTTTGGTCATGTAATACATTAATCTAAACTTTTTTACTGGACTTACTGCAGTCTGGTTGTAGGCTTGACCTTGTATTTCTCTTTCAAGTCCTATATATGTATGTTGTGTGGTCCAGTGGTTCTTTTCCATTAAAGAGAAATGGGCATCCTCCTTATGATGCAGTAATTACAGCTCACAGGTAGACACATTTTCAACCTGCTACAATCTCTTGATTTGTGTCTGGCAAGGAGCTTCAACTAGCTCTGCATTTATGTTTGGAAGGAAAAGCAAATGACAATTCCTAAAACTTCAAGTCATTTGGTTCTGAAATTAAAATACATATTTGAAATCTTTCTAGGTTAGCACATGAAAGGTTGTGGTCTTTTTGGGCCTTCTGATCTGCACCATGCTGTCTGCTTGCCTCCCACTTGGCAACATGAGAAGGTCACTGCCTGCTGGGATGGAAGCAGGTGCTCATGTCAGTGGCAAAGATCTGCTGAACAGTAGTATACTTAGAGGTTGGAGTGATGCAAGTCAGCTGCCCAGACTGTAGCCTGGGAAAAGCTCAACTGTACAAGAATCCTTGGGTTTGGGGCTTAATTGGTTATGGCTTGCTAGCAGAAAGTGTGCCAGAATGTGCTAGTCCTTGGGACAGTATCTCTTGAAAAAGTTC